TTTATAGTGTTCGATGTAACATTTTTCCATGCTGTACTTATCCACACCATAGTACTTGCCAAATTTATGCTCTCTTTAGCCTTTTCCATCGTTTCTTCGGTATTAGTAAAAGTCAAAAGTCTTTTAATAAAAAATTGACGATATTTTAATTTAAAATTTTGAATAATTCCTTGGTCCAACGGCTGGCAATGAGATGTCGTATTTGGAGGAAAAAAAATTATACGAACATTTTCAAGTTCTATTTTTGGGTGAGACGTGGCATTATCCAAAAATAAAAGAACTTTTCTACCCTGCCGTTTCATTTTGGTGTCAAAGGTTTTGAGCCAAGATGTCATTATATCTGTCGTCATCCAAGCTTTTTTGTTGGATACCCATTCTATCGGCAATTTATCTACATGCGCTCCTTTAAAACATCTCGGGTTTTTGCTCTTACCTATAACTAGCGGATTTTCCTTCTCACCATGCATGCTGCAACAGAAAAGCAGTGTCACTCGTTGTTTAGCTGATTTTTTGCCAGCACATTTATCATTCTTTAAAGCAAAGGTTTTGTTTGGCATTGCCATATAATAAAGCCCTGTTTCGTCTGCATTAAAAATGTCTTTAGTGTCGTATTCCTTAATGATTGCTGTTAATTTTGTTTTCCAGTCTTCAACAGTCACTTCATCCACATCTGCAGACTCACCACAAATTGTTTTGAAGTTAATATTATGTCTCTTGCAAAACTTATTTAACCAGCCAGTTGAAGCCTTAAATTCACTAAGTTTCAAGGATGTAGATACCTCAAGAGCTTTTTCCCGAATTAAGGTTCCCGATATGGGTATGTTTTTGTTCCTTGCCTTACAAAACCATTCGTAAACTAGTTGATCGATTGCAAATCCTTCTGTTTTAGGAAACTTTCGTTTTTTATCTGCATTGCATCCTTCTTCTTCAAACATTTTTTTTAATTCCACTTTGTTTTTTAAAATGTCGTTCACTTGCGTTCTTCCAACACCAAACTTTTCCGCCAACTTTCGAGCACTGCTGTTATATTTTTCACTTTCCGCGACAATATTTAATTTCTCTTTAATAGACAAACGTTTACGTTTCAAAGACATGGTTGCTGTTCTTTCAGAGTAAGAAACTAAACTGATTCTATATCTCCCAAAAATTTCAGCAAACTACTGACGAATTTGTATTGTATTTGTCACTCTCTGTACCTACTTCTCAAACAAATTATAAATGTTTATTGCTTGGAATTTCCTAAAGTGTCCTGAAACAGCTCTTGTTAGACAAAAAAAAAGGTTCGAAGGGTTCGGTTTTTGGCCGGTATTGGGGCAATAAATTTAATGGGTTTTTCCCTAAAATGTACCTTTGAAGCGGCCGGTGACCGCTTTCGGAATTAACGTTATTGAGAAATATTTTAATATAGGAATTCCCCTAAGATTAATTCAAACAACTGAAAATTGACCGCTAACAGAAGTGACCGCTTTTTAGAAGTGGCCGAAATGGGAAGTTTTACTGTATTATACACAATAATTAATTATTTCTAGTAAGACTTATGTTTAGAATTATACGTAAATTTATTCAATTAAATGACTTGGAAATGTTCTTAAAACCATTACTTCTTTTTTTAGAAACGGTGGGAAATTTTATGGGGAAATTATTCCAAGAAGTTATATTTAAACACCATTCTTTACGTATATTAAGATGTTTCACAATTTGCGGTAGGAAATTTATCCATATAATCAACTTTTTTATCTATAATAATATTTCTAATTTTGCCACCACTGACAAAGCAACAGATCGAGACTCTATAGAAATGGTTAAACATTTTTTAAAATGTACTATTAACAACGAATCTCTTCGAATTTCTTTTGTTTATTAGTAGATCACTGCTAACAAGTTGGTCTCCGTTGGAATAACGCCAGCTGTGTTAACAAAAAATAACTATTTTATTTTTTAGATTTTCCTACAATGCAAGTAGCGAAATACCCATAGGACTTTTTTGAAGAAACAGTTCTCTTGTTTTAACTCAGACTTGTAGAGTATGTCCCCGGATTTTCTTTACAAGAGGAAAAACATTTTTATTATTGCCATTTTGAGAAAAATGCATTTTCCATAGAAAAAATCCATTTTCTAAAACGGTTAATCCCGTTTATACTTTTCCAAATTTTCATACCGTTTTAGAGAAAATTAAGTAAACATGAAAATGTGGTTGAATTTTTCTTAAAGTGGCGTCCTAGAAAAGGCGTTCTAAAAATCAAAGGCGTTTCTATGGTAATATCAATTCGATTTCATTCTTTGATAGATGATTATTATTAATTTTAATTAACGTAATATTATGTGCTGCTGTTAAAGTATCACATTTTCCGATAACCATCATCGCCCTATCCGTAGCATTGAACTAAATAAATTTTGTGCTTCTTTAACATTTTAAAATAACGGGATTTACCATTTTAGAACAAGCAAAAATTTTTGAGCAGAACGCATTTTTCTCAAAATGTCTATTATAAAAAAAAATCCTCTTGTAGGTATATCTTTATTTTTCCTATAATATGCATTGCAATTATTGGTCTATACGAAGTACCTACTAGCTTTTTTCCTGGACTATTTTTATAACCATAATAAAATAGCTTATTTTAAAAATAGCAAGGTGTATATTTAATCAGGGTAGTGGTTACGAAAATAGTAATACTTGATGAGCGTGAACTGATAAAACACGTAATCTGGTTAAGCGTAATAAATTTTCGGTTATGATGTTACCTGTGATGTTACACCCCGAATTTTTACTCATCATTTTATTCCGGATACGAGCGATCGCCTCGTGCATTTCATAATTACGAACAAGCAGTTTGAAAATTAGAAAATCGTGATAGTGCAGATATACCGGGTGCGTCTCAAAAGTGGCTCACCCCTAACTTTTTAATTTTTTCAGATAAAAAAACGGGATATGGTATGTTAGTATATGACATAAGAGGCAAATCTATAATTCACAGAAATATTATTATATAAGAATTATCATAACTCCTAGCATACCGGGAGAGGTAGTTCTTCTCATGTAACTTTTTTAATATAACAGCAACGATCCATATTGATTTTTTTTCTTTTAAATAAAATAAAGTTGGTATGAAATTACAACAAAATCAGATATGATTCAAATTAAGTCTTTTAACTATTTTTCGACAATTCACAATTAAATTGTTCTTTAAAATGTTCTAAAAATGCATGTATAAAACTATATAAATATTATGTACTACTATTTTATTGATCATATTAAAGAATAAATTTAATTCAAAATACAAAATTGCAGAGCATAGATAAATATCTACTTATTCTCAATAAAGAACCGTAAATCTAGTCCACCACAGATCACTTTTCTATCCACTGCTTAGTTATTTTTATTTGGGGCAAGGTATGTATACAGGGTGTCCCAGGCTGAGCGTGCATTAGAAGTTTCTAGAGAACCACAATATCTAGATCGGAGATTTTTTGCACATTACTGTTTCACAACGAGATCTATCGATTAAAAATATTTTCAATATGGCGGCACTTCCGGAAATACCGGATGTTGACAGCAACTTTCTTATTTTAAATAGGTACCCCCATTTTTTATTACATACTTAAGTTTTCTTTAAAATTTTATGAATTTTGATATTAAACACTCTATACCTAACGTTAACCGTTTTTGAGGAAAAAAATATTTAAAATTTTTCGAGAAAAAAAACTCTCTGACAAAAAAAATCTGTATAGCCTAAACGACAAATTTAGTGATTATCACAGCTACTGTGATATAAAGAGAGTGGCTATCTATTTCAAAAATTAAATTGTTCGAATGTCATATAATATTGACTGTAGCTGTCATGGAATTGAGCGATTAAAAAATTATCATAAATAATTGTTTTCAAATGGAAACCCACATTTTTTATTCCACTAGAGAAAAGATTTTTTAATTCGTTACTTTTTGATTATACATGTTCCTATACCTAAAATAAATCGTTTTTAAGTTATTTAAGATTTAGTTTTATAGCGTAATTTTTTCTTGATTTTATCTAGCTTCCGTTGACATTAAGTGTCAAAGCATCAGACAATTTATATCCTTCTGTTAAAAAACTAATTATTTGAATTTTGTATATTATAAATACTGCTGGTAAAACTTTAGTAAAAGTATATTGATAAAAATATATCTCGTATTTTAGTGATAGCTACTGGCAATATGACATGACCAGATATAGTTTTACATCGTGTGACGCTTAAAGTCATAAGCTACTGGTTAAAAAAAATATACTCTTTAAAATTAAATCTTAAATAACTTAAAAACGATTTATTTTAGGTATAAGAACATGTATAATCAAAAAGTAACGAATTAAAAAACCTTTTCACAAGTCAAATAAAAAAAGTGGGTTTCCATTTGAAAAGAATGATTTATGGTAACTTTTTAATCGTTCAATTCCATGAAAGCTAAAGTCAATATTATATGACATTCGAACAATTTAATTTTTGAAATAGATAGCCACATATCTTCGCTTTATGCCACAGTGACCGTGGTAATCACTAAATTTGTCGTTTAGGCTATACAGATTTTTTTGACAAGTAGTTTTTTCATTTAAAAATTTTAAATATTTTTTTTTCTCAAAAACGGTTAATGTTAGGTATAGAGTGTTTGATATCAAAATTCATAAAATTTTACAGAGAATTGAAGTATGTAGTAAAAAATGGGGGTACCCATTTAAAATAAGAAAGTTGCTGTCAACTTCCGGTATTTCCGGAAATGCCGCCATATTGAAAATATTTTTAATCGATAGATCTCGTTGTGAAACATTAATTTGCAAAAAATCTCCGATCTAGATGTTACAGTTCTCTAGAAACTTCTAATGCACGCTCAGCCTTGGACACCCTGTATACATCTAAATACATAATATGTATACTATCTCCCCCATCAAAAAAAACTTACAGAAAAATATTAAAAAAAACTTGCAAATACATTAAAGCAGTAAAGTGTTTTCGTATTTTACTTTACTTACATTATTTCTTGCTCCGACTTCCGACCCCAGGTCTATCATACGATCCAGTAAAGATGTTCTGTTGTCCTTGACTGCATACATCAACGGAGTCATTCCAGTAAGCTGAACAGATAAAAAATTACTCAAAATCATACATCTATCTATACATTTATATTATGTTGTTAACCATATTTCAGAAGGTTACTGAATGATATATAATTAAAAAAAAATAATTTTCAAAATATTCAATTGAAGAAATAACAGCGTCACAGTTTCCCCTGAAATGACAGTTGACGATAATTTTGAGGAGGTCTAACCCTCGTATATTAGAAATTGGCATAAGAATTTGTCAAAAAATTGTCTAAATAAAAAAGAATAAAAACAAAATTTCCAAACATGTTGAATTTTGTGTTTTTTGATAAGTTTTATGTCAAATGTTAGTAAATGACGTCTAGGGCTTGACCTCGCCAAAATTATTATCGATTGTGATACCCCAGCCGTCTTTGATGCCGTTTCCTTTCGATCATATACGGTATAGTCTTTGAAAATGAGTGCTGGTACTTCCGCCATTATAGGTGGGCACACACGAAAGTCATTCCAATCCGCCGATCTGATATGCGATACGAGAGGATAGATATTTCATTGTCCACTAACGTAAATATCAAATCTCACTTTTTTTGAACGGAATTGATCTGTGAAGAGACAAATCGATTAGTTAGTTGCAAACTCTCCCAAATTTTGAAGTGACTGAACCGCGGGTTAGATATTTTATACTCCTATACAATCTCGCCAGGTACAAAACGTCGATACAAAACCCTCAATAAGCGGCCTCTACAGTTCTAGAGCACTAAGGTGCTGGTAAATCGGATTAATCCGTGAGAGAAAATCTGCGAAAAATACCACTCGTGTGTGCCCCGCTAAAATGAGATATATCTTAAATTATTAACAGAAATGATCTTTTAAGGTAAACTTTAAGCACAACATATTAATAGCTATGCCAGACTTCTTACCAAATCCGCTACTCCTGCTAATGGTGTAGTAGTAGCGTCTTCCCCTGTATTAGCTATGGCCTTTTCCATAGATTTCATAATTTGATCGACAGGAGCCCATTCCCCCTTTTGGCACAGTGTCAGGATCCTTTGGGCAGCATCCCTGATGTTCGCTCCGGCAGATTGAGGCTTGGCACCGGCCGCCTCATCACCTTCCGGATTACTTGCTGTCTCATCTTTATCCTTTTCTTTGGAATCCTTCGAGGTGTCTAAAAAAAGGTTGCTTTAAATTAGGTTTCAGTAGTTAATTCATTTTAGATCAAATTGCCAGATTAACTAGTGGTAGACAAGAGCTGTAAAGTTCTGGATAGAGATCAAGTATATCAGAAACAGGTTTTTAATATTTAAATTGACTACATTTAATGTTTTATGGATATTTAAAGATGTCGTATATGTTCATAATTTATAATATGCATTATATAAATATAATTAGAGCAAAGTATCGGTGTCCAAATGGCATAGAGATGACGATCGACATTTCCCATATAATTTTACATACAGAATGACAGCGATCTTCATTTTCAAGCCACTTCTGACGCCGTTTTTTTCTAATCCTACGATATTTGGAGATATGTTGTTAACATATCATACAGGGTGGCCCATCGAAAACGTTCCGCAAATCATAACAGCCAGAGTAATTTTTTTTTCAGAAAATCCAAAAACACGTCGATTTTGTTTGCGAGGGGGAGAACTTTTGTCCCAAAAATGATTGCAAAATCTACAACCCTCTAAGTGGGGGTGGCATCCCCCAATTTTTTTCAAATGGGAAGGGGGGTCAAGTGATACCGCAATGAAAAGGGCTTTCTATTCTCTATACTTTCCCGCTTCGTTTTTGAAAATCGGTCGAGTCATTGAGAAAATATGAAGGATTGAAATTTGGAAAGCTTATTTAAACATTTATCAGAGTAAATGATAAGGATAAATTCCTTCGTCCAATTTGCTGTTTATTCTTATTATTTCTAGATGTTTATACGCATTTTTTCACTTGCCACAAGGTTGGACGATCAGGTGGGGTAGTTGCTAGATAGCTGTTCTGTGACTTGTGCGTTGAAGTTCTTCTCAATATTGTTAAACTTTTTAACAATTATGATGTACTCACATGCAGAAAAGGTGGAAATAAGTTCTACCCGTACAAAATTCAGTTAGTACAAGAACTCAACGAAGACGATTTTGACCGTCGCTTGCAATTTTGCGAAACTATGAGTGAACGAGTGGCGAATGATAATAATTTCCTAATTAATGTGTGTTTTTCGGATGAGTGTACTTTTTTTTTGAACGGTGTATTTAATCGGCACAACTGTCGGTACTGGGCTGAGGACAATCCCAGGATTTTTCACGAGGTGCACACACAAAACCCTCAGAAATTGAACGTATGGGCTGGTATTTTTGGAAATTCTATTTTAGGTCCTTTTTTTCTTCCTAGAAATCTAACAGGTGATATGTACTTGGATTTACTGGAAAAAACCATCGACCCAGCCCTAACTGACATCATAGAGAACAATCCTGGATACGTTGAAGCCGAACTAATATTTCAACAAGACGGTGCACCTCCACATCACTCTCAAAATGTGCGTAATTATTTAAATAATAACTTTCCCGGTCGGTGGATTGGACGAAGGGGTGCAATTGAGTGGCCTCTCCGGTTACCCGACATGACTCCTTTTTTTCAAATGTGGACAAAAGGTAAAAAAAGGTTGTGGATAAAAAGTAAAGTGTATAGCACTAGTAACCTAACCCGCCTCATTAGAAGACCTGCGAAGACGAATTATTGATGTTGGTCGCGAAGTGACCCCGCAAGTTCTTCAGATTGTTCGAGAACGGTTTGAAAATAATTTGTATTACTGTATGGAGGTTGACGGGCAACATTTTAAGCATTTGCTTCATTAATAAGGTAAGTTTTTTTTGCAAAAAGTTGACAAAATGACTCGATTTTTAAAAACGAAGCGGGGAAATATAGAAAATAGAAAGCCCTTTTCATTGCGGCGCCACTCGACTCCCTTTCCCATTTGGAAAAAGTTGGGGGATGACACCCCCGCTTAGAGGCTTAAAGATTTTGCAATCATTTTTGCGTCAAAAGTTGTCCCCCTCAAAAACAAAATGGACGTGTTTTTGGATTTTTTGAAAAAAAATATACCCTGGCCGTTATGCCTTGCGGAACGTTTTCGATGGGCCACCCTGTATTATAGTGAACACGTCAAAATTTACCAGACGAGTGCTATGAAAAATATTTAAGTAATTTAATTTAAAACTTAAATGAACATGTTCAAGCTCCTATAAACTTTACTTCTCTTGTTAAGTTGTAAGTTATTCGTTCTGTTTGTAGAGTTTTGTATGTGGTAGTATTGAAACATATTATATGTATGTAGGTACCTGCTGTTTTAAATTATTCAAAATTATCATAATGTTTTGTATTTTAGTTAAAGTTATTAGTAATTGTTAGAATTATTTAGTTAGGTAATACAATTATTCTATTAAAATTCATACTTTCAAAGTTCTTAAAGTATTTATTGATTATAAAAAAAATACTATCATACTTAGTATCCTTGAAAAGTATCTAGTGCCTATTTCTGATCAATAATTTAAATAAATAAAACAAAAGCCATTTAGTTACTCCACTCAACAACGCAACGGCTGGACCGATTTTGATGATCTTTTGAATAACTTTTAAAATATTGAAAGAATTCAGAAAAATTATACAGAAACTTTTTTTTCTAATTGAATAAATCAAATTTGGATCTCCGCAATATTCTGCAATTGACAACTTATAGCACAGATAATATTAGTATGTTATATGTTCTTACAGTTTATTTGTAATATTTAAAGTCCACTGCAAATTAGTGACATACTAGACATTATAGAATAGAAATTCAACGGACAATAGTGGGAAAATAACATCTTCTAGAAAGATATATACCTAGAAAGTACCTACTTGAATGGGAATGTAGACAAAAATATACAGAACAAAGAACAACTGTCAAATTGATTGGTCTTAATTCATTCCGGATCATTAGGTCAATCAGTCATCTGTACCTCAATCAGTCATCTGAACCATGAGATTTACAAAAAACTCTCACTTCATTTCACTATTATAATTAGGCGGTACAAAGTTAGCAGGGTGAGCTAGTTTTACATAAAAAGACGTATTTTCTAAATATTTTTATACAAAATCTAAAAAATTGCAAAAAATAGAAGTTCTGTATTTTTATCGTTGCTTTTATATTTTAATATTAATAGTATAATAGGTATGTATGATTTGAGAAATCTTGTTACATGAGATTAACAATAGAATTGGAGTTACATATATTTTCATTTTGCTCTATACTGATTTTCAATGTTATCACCAAATATTTTATCACCGTAACAACTAGCGTATTTGTTATTAGTAATTTAAAATTTAAGAAAAGAAAATTGTTTAAAGCAAACGAAAATTGTTTAATAGAAAACCGGATAGTGGAAAATCATTGTAAATCTTAAAATTTGGAAAAATAAAAAAAATACATTTATTAATTTTCTTAAAATTTGGGTTTAATCTAAATGATAAATGAAAATAATTTCCATTGTCACCTATGCCTCTGCATGGTCTAGAGTACCATGGCTATATTTCATTATGAAAATTTATGAGAAAATTGGTATTGACGTTTTTGTGTTTGCTGCTACTCCAACGACGTTATCTATTATTGGATCACCCTTTATATTAACTTCTTAAAAAAATATTTGTGAACAATTGATGTAATAATGTGGTATTACGCTCTTTGCTTGATTAATTGATTTTTTTGATTATTTTTAAATTGAAACTGACATGTTTATTGTGAATTTGGTTCACCCTGTATAAATAAATATATTTTTATGGAAACGACAAATCGAAAAAAATATATGAGGAATTCACTAGCCCAGTATTAGAATTTACAAAACATGTTGATCTATTGCACAAATATCTAAAACAGGCTGAATTCAATAATCCCCAGACTATAATTATTAGGTTAACTACAATTATTATTGTGCTAAGCTATAATTGTTATTTTATCGCACTCAAAGACATAAAATGCAATATGTTGCAAAAATAATATAACTCAAAAAGAATGAATTCGCCACAGATGGATATAAAAATATTATCATATTTTTTCATGTCGTTTTTGAACAGCAGAAAAAAGATAAATAAAGTTAGACTTGTTTTCTAACTTTTCACATTCAAGGATTTTTCTACAAAATGTGGCATTCAATTGGAAGTTAAAAAAAAGAAAAAAAAAGTTAGAAAACAATCTTAAGTTTATCATAAAATTTATACCAGGTGCGTCTCAAAAGTGGCTCTTTTTATATTTTCAGATAAAAAACGAGATTTGGTATGTTAGTATATGACATAAATTAGGATTGATTGACGTATTCAATTGTTTTTGGTCACTTCCTGTTTCACCAGAAATGACTACAACATTTGATTTTTAAATGACACTCTAGGTCATTTTTTACTTTATTCGATAGAAAATGACACTCTGAATCGAATGACATATCATATGTCAATTTTTGACATATTCGCCCAAAAACAAATTTTCTTTTAAATTTCAGTCTAGAGTGCTATGGCTGTGTTAAAAACACTGATTTTTAATCAAGGAGCCTTGGAAAAATAGATTTGGTCGTGTAATGTTTTTACTGTCTTGTCCCGGCCGCCAGCTGGTTAAAAGAAGCCCAAATCGTATTTTTAATGATATCTCAATTTTTTCAAATAGAACAAGGGTGGTTCATTAGCGTATTTAGAAAAGGCATTTTTTTACGAATAATTTGGTACCACACACTTGGTATTTCGAGTCAAATTGTCGTTATGAACTTCATGTTGCAATTTCAAATAAACCATATGCGAAAATGTCAAAAGTTGTATGTCATTCTATACAGAGTGTCATTTTCTATCGAATAAAGTAAAAAATACCAAGGGTGCCATTTAAAAATCAAAAGTTGTAGACAGTTCCGGTGAAACCGGAAGTGACCGATAACAATTGAATATGTCAATCAATCCTATTTATATCATAACATACCAAATCTCGTTGTTTTATCTGAAAAAATAAAAAAGTTATAGGGGGTGAGACGCACTTTTGAGACGCACCCGGTATATTACAAAAATAATATAATTCAAAAATTCTCAATTCATCATAGATGGACATAAAAATCTAATCATATTATTTTTTTGTTTCGTTTTTGAACTGCAGGATTACCAACTTTTAAAAGTTCTAGGATAAAAAACTTCCATTCAAGAGAAAGATTTTTTTTATAAAATGTGGCATTCAACTGGAAGTTTAATATCATCTAAACTTAAATTTATGCTAAAACTACAAAATATTTTTTATTTTAACAAATTAGATTTTTTTTGTATTCAAAACAAAGTGAATAAATAATCGTCAAATAGTAAAAGTTCGTTTTGAATTGTATTTTTATTGAAACCTACGTGTCGTTATTTATTTTGTTTTTATTTCATGTTGTATACTTCTGTAAAATTTGATTTGTTTGTGATGCTTGGCTTTGGGTGATTTGATCTGATTATAAAATACTACCATAACTTTAACTCACATTTGTTCGTCTGTTTCAAACGGTATAAAATATGCAACCACTTACTAGACTTGTTATTCCCATTGCCGTCGTCTCCTTTAGGGGGGCCTTTAGCCCCACCTTTCTTACCACCAGCTTGCGACATCTTTTTCAATATATTTTTTTTAGTTCTGTTATTTATTTACATTATTTCTAGTCGTTAACGAAACGCTTTAGATGAACGTTGTACTTTTCAGTACTTTTCAATTTAACCGTTTTTAGAAATAACAGAAATAACATTGAGGCACACTTAAGAAGGACTTCTGCACTGGAAAGCATTGCGAAAAGTTCATTTTAAAATTTCGCGACTTTAGTTTGACAAACTTTGATGAAAAGAACTAGGTAAGAAACCGTCGGTATGTAACAAATCCCGGTTTTGTTCTGGCGCGGCTCTGGCATGTACGTTGGGGAGAAAAGCTGGCACGGGACAAATATTGCAGAAATCTCGGCCAATGGCGGTTAAATATTCATCCCCTCTTCCTTCAGTTGCCTTAATCGGTCGGAATTTGAATTTGGCCCCGATTTTACCCCTCCGCGTCTTCGGGAAAACTATAAGGGTTGCGTGCCGTGCTACTTCTTGGAAGAAGAGCACAAGTTGGAAATGTAACGCTCAAATTTTTGTCAAACTTTTAAAAAATAAAACTATAGAGAAATTCCGAAATTAAATATATACAGGGTAATGTTTCAATGTGGTAGACAATGATTCAGTATTTAAACTAAAAGAATTTCGGACTTCCATTGTCCTTATTTTTTTTTATTTGATTAACGCAATGTTCCGGTCAGTGATCCAAATGTTGTGATAATCGAAAAATAAATAAAGACAATGGAAGCCCAAAATTCTGTTAGTTACATACAGGGTGTTTCAAAATAAATATACTATCTCTTGTGGTGAGATTCCTCACGTAAAGATAAGATTTATTTTTTATATCAATATAGGTCCGATTCTGCTTTGTTTCGTAGCTGCAAGAGGTTAAAGTCTTTTTAGGGTTCCGTACCCAAAGGGTAAAAACGGGAACCCTATTACCACAGATTAGGTAGCCTATAAGTATACAGATAAAATAAATCTCGTCCCTAATTCGTGGTACGAAAATTGTTTTTTATGACGATGAGCAAACGAGTAAATTTTCTTGTGCGCAAAAATAAACTCCCGTTTAAACAGCGTAATAACTGGGCCGGTCACAAGACCGGTCAGGCGCTATGCACAATTTTAGAGGCCATAGGTGGGCGTGCTTGTGCGCAAACTAGTAACCTAATTAGTGCGCGACTCCAAAAATTGAAACCACGAAAAACAATGCTTTTGACGATAAGTTTATAATCTGTATGATCTGTGCTATTACTAACTTCACTGTCCGTCCGTCCGTCCGTCTGTCACAAAGGTCTATCTTATGAACCGTTATTGTTGAAATTTTTACAGATAATGTATCTATGTTGCCGCTATAAGAACAAACACTAAAAACAGAATTAAATAAATGTTTATAAATAAAAAAGTACTTTCACTAAATATTATCTTTTAAGTAAGAATTTTACATAGAATCTTTCAAGTCCTCGGTGGCCGCGTGGTTAAAGCGTTAGGACTTTACGCTGCTATGACGTTGGAGCCGTAGTAAGGCAGGTTCGAATCCTAGTCAACGCGACTTTTTTTTAATCGTTTTTTTTACATATTTATTTTTACTTTTTACATATTTATTATTAATTAATACAATTTTTAGTAATATGTTTCTTCATTTTTTTTTAAATTATACTTATACGCGCATTCAAAATTTCAGCTAAATCGGAATAAAAGTTTATATTAATATAGTGTCTAAATGAATGGTACGGAACCCTTCGTGCGGGAGTCCGACTCGCACTTGACCAATTTTTTTCGATTTATTATAATTTTCTTTCTAAGTGCTTCTAGAGATTCGAATGAAATTTTGTGTGTAAAAGTTACTATAAGTGCGATATATTTTAATGCTGAAAAGTAGTCGATATATTCACTAGGTACGTGGATAATATCGGTTATTACTGGAATATTTTTCGAAAAATAATTTGAGCCAGGGACTTTATTTTGTTGGCTAAATTGTGTAGACCGTTTAATGCCGATTAAAAGTTGTCTGTTATTATTTTGTCGATTTCAGTCTCCTTGACGCGATAAACGCAGATTAATTAATTTGCGTTATTCCAAATCTGATTGCAACCTTTAAAATTTTTAATGTCATTAACTGGCCAAAGTGTTTAATAAGTACTCATTGATTCCTCATCAAAAAACATGAAAAAAGGTCATATAAACATGGGTGCGGTAATGCATAGTTTTAAAGTTAACTTTTATGAATAGTTTTTTTTGTAATTATCTTGAATACCATTATTGTTTTTTGAATTTGCTGTAGGCAGCACTGAACATCAGTTATCATAATTTTAATTTTTATCAATTGTGATTAATAAAATTTCGTTTATCTCAACAAGGAGATCAAAATCGACAAAATATCAAGATACAACTTTTAATCGGCATTAAACGACCTACAGTATGACCCCGGAACAAGAGGAAAAACTTTTTTATTATTGACATTTTGAAATATGATAGTAGTTTGAGATATATGAATGCATTCTTCATAAAAAATTTTGCTTGTTCTAAAATGGTTAATCCCGTTTATACTTTTTTGTTTAAAAATTCAACCTTATTGGTTGTAAATCTTGGTGTTTTTTTAAATTTTCTTTAAATAGTATGGAAATTTGGAAAAGTAAACGGGATTAACCATTTTAGAACACAAGCAAACATTTTTATGAAGATGAAGAATGCATTTTTCTCGAAATGTCATTTTTTTGTCATTTTTTACTTATAAAGACAATCCGGAGACATACTGTATACAATAATTTTGATAACAAGGGAAAAAAAGTCAGTGGCGTACATGTTTTTTTAGAAAACTGTTTCAGTGATAATCGATGTGCTCGTCCACGGGGACTGTCAACACTTTTTAAGCATTAAAATATGTAGTACTTATACAGGTTGTTAAAAAAACATGTGCCATCTCTGGTGGGGACATTCCTCACGTAAAAATAAGATTTATTTTTCATATCAACCTAGGTCCGATTTAGCTTTTATTCGTAGCTACGGGGTGTTAAAGTCTTAATATTTTTTCGATTTATTCTAATTTTCTTCCAAGAAATTTTGAGGGTAAAAGTTACTATAAATGCGACATATTTTAAAGCTAAAAAAGTGTCGACATATTCACCAGGGACGTGCATATGGGTTATCATTGGAATATTTTTCTAAAAAATACATATACGCCACTGAGTTTCTTTTTCTCTTAATGCTGGCCGCATTTTCGTCGATGCGACTTGTGCGGCTCTGGCTAGTGTGCGCACCTTCATTGAAAGTAACACAAACAATATTTTTCTTCGGTCGATGCGGCAAGTGCCGCTCTGTTCAGTGTGCGCGTACCTTAAAAGTTGTCTCTTCATATTTTGTAGATTTCGGTCTCTTTAATGAGATAAACGCAATATTTTTAATTTGCCTTGATCCAACTCTAATAGCGACCTTTACAAAAATTAATATCATTAACTCACGACGTTTTAAATAAATACTCATTGATTCTTCATCAAAAAATATGAAAAAAAGTTCCTATAATAATATAATATCCTGTTAAAACATTTTAAAATTAGTTTTTTTTATAATTATCTTAAATACCATTATTTTTTAATTTGAAATTGCTGTATAATAATATAGTACTATTGACTAATAGTAATAATAACTAATATAGTCTGTGAAACGAATAACTTTGAATTTGACAGTTCCCGCGGGCTTTTCTAGTGTCAATTTTATTAGGTTAGCAACTTGCGACCATGCATTTTTCTTTGTTGTCTGATATTTAGAAATGTCAAAAGCTGATGACATTTTACTTTTGACAATTATGACATTTCGTGTTGATTTTTGCAAGAAGAGGAAGAACTTGTCACTTCTTTGATTATTTTCCTTTTCTATTTCACGAAAGTAAAAAGAGTTTCCTATCTGATTCGTTCAGGCACTCAATTTAAAGAATATCAGTAACTTTTTTGATAGAGGGATTTTATATTTGCCACGTTGGTAAAAAATAACGGTCAAGTTATTCATTTTATAGACTATAGTAATAATATTTAATAATAAATTAGGTAAAATATACAATTTCTTAATTTTATTTTAATTTTATTATTTGTGATTAATAAAAGTGGGTTGATCTCATCAAGGAGGCCGAATTGGACAAAATATCAAGACATAAGTTTTAATTGGCATTAAAAGGCCTACACAATTTTGAAATCAAAAGAGAAAAAGTCAGTGGCACACATATTTTTTTTTAAATATTCCAGTGATAATTCTGCACGTCATATGCACGTCCCTGGTGAATTTAGCGATACTTTTTTGTCATTAAAATATGTAGTACTTATAGTAACTTTTACCCTAAAAATTTCATTAGAAAATTATAATAAATCGAAAAATTATTAAGACTTTATTAATACCCTGTAGCTATAAAACAAATCAGAATTGGATCTATGTTGATATGAAAAATAAATCCTATTTTTACGTGAGAAATCTCCCCACGAGAGATGGAACATGTTTTTTGAAACACCCAGAAGAAACTTTCACCCTCAAAATTTTATTTGAATCACTAAAAGCACTGGGAAGAAAATTATAATAAACCGGAAAAAAAATTTAACCCCTTGTAGCTACGAAACAAAGCAGAATCTTGCCCAACACACGAGAGATGGCACATCTTTTATGAAATACCCTGTATTTGAAAAGCATTTAACAGCCGTTGACATAGTTTTAGACGTTAAGCCGTAGAGCAAAATAGCGTCTAAATCTATTCCTGGAAAGAAAACATTAGCGTAAGACTGAAGCCTTGATCGCATAAAGTCCTGCTTGACCAAAAGGCTGACCGGCCGGATGTAGCGTGCCGCATTCTTCGCACGCTCCTTCTTGCTATTGGTCAAGAATGTTGGGTCCGAGACTGCAATTTTATTTAATCAATATATAGAGGTTTTAACGAGAACAGCATGTGTAGTTTTAATCGTGATACCTCCTATTTAGTATCATAATTTGTCATAGTTGTTAATTTGGAGAGATACAAATTTTAAGAAAAATTTCTTCTGAGATATTTCCATTTGCAATCTTCATACCGGGTGCGTTGCAAAAGTGGCTCACCCCCTATAACTTTTTTATTTTTTCAGATAAAAAATCGAGATGGTAATATAAGTATATGACATAAATTAGAACTGATTGACGTATTCAATTGTTTTCGGTCACTTCCTGTTTCACCTGAAATGACTACAACTTTTGATTTTTATTTAGCACCCTCGGTATTTTATTACTTTATTCGATAGAAAATGACACTCTGAATAGAATGACATATCGTATTGACTTTTGACATTTTCGAATATGGCTTATTTGAAATTGCAACATGCGATTCATAACAACAACTTGACTCGAAATATCAAATGCTTGCTACCAAATTATTTGTAAAATGCTTTTTCCAAATATGCTAATGAGCCACCCTCGTTCCATTTGAAAAAAATGATATAAGATTAAAAACACGATTTGGGCATCTTTTAACCGCCCAGGACAAGACACTAAAAACATTAGACGATCAAATCTATTTTTCCAATGCTCCTTGATTAAAAATTGGTGTTTTTAACACAGACATGGCACAGCAGAAATTTAAGATACAATTTTGTTTTAAGCAGAAACGTGAAAATTTGTATTCAGACTGTCATTTTCTATCGAATAAAGTAAAAAAATACCTAGAGTGCCAATTAAAAATCAAAAGCTGTAGTCATTTCCGATGAAACAGAAAGTGATCGAAAAAAATTGAATACGTCAATCAACCCTAATTAATGGAGTACACTAACATACCAAATCCCGTTTTTTATATCTGAAAAAATAAAAAAGTTATAGGGGGTGAGCCACTTTTGAGACGCACCCGGTATATTCAACTTGACTTAATCAGTCTCGAACAGAGTAATCTGAGCAGTTTAATTGAGCAGTAATATTTTATGAATATGAATATACCGGGTGCGTCTCAAAAGCGGCTCACCCCTATAACTTTTTTATTTTTTTAGATAAAACAACGAGATTTGGTACGTTAGTATATGACATAAATTGGGATTGATTGACGTATTCAATTGTTTTCGGTCACTTCCGTTTTTACCGGAAATGACTACAACTTTTGATTTTTAAATTGCACCCTCGGTATTTTTTTACTTTATTCGATAGAAAATGACATTCTCAATCGAATGACATATCATATGTATCTGAAAAAATAAAAAAAAGTTATAAGGGTGAGCCATTTTTGAGACGCACCCGGTATACAGTCAGTACACTACACAAAATTCCAAGGTCATTTTAATGAGCACTAGGAAGGCTCATGGATAGCTGATAATTAACAAGTCTTCTAGGTTGAATGATTATGTATTTGCAAAATGGATTAGTAATCCAGGTACGTCAACATTACATATATTGTTTCTTCGCCCATCGTTCAACGTCACATCATATTGTTGAATGACTACAACTTTTGTTTTATAAATGGCACTCTCGATATACTTTTACTTTATTCGATAGAAAATGACACTATGAATAGAATGACATACCACATAATATCGACTTTTGACATTTTCTACCACATACTAACATACCAAATCTCGTTTTTTTATCTGAAAAAATAAAAACGTTATAGGGGGTGAGCCACTTTTGAGACGCACCCGGTATATGATCTAGGGGTAAATGAGTTACAAATGACGTAAAAAATGAAACAATTTTAAAATTATATATTATTTATTAAAACAGCGCTAAATTATTTCCTAATTTTTAATATAGAAAATTAACAATTGCATCAACATCTTATCATTAATAATTGAATCTTCGATTGACACTGTCAAGATCGGTCAGCTGAAAATAGAAAGAATATTTTAATTATTAAAATTAATTAATATGCTTCATTTGTTCAATTAAACACTACTAAAACAATAAAATTATAGTTAGTTCTTCAAATTTCAGATTTGTTTTAATCAAGTACTAATGACGTTGATGTCGTTAGTCGCTAAAAAAAAATTAGTGACTGTATATATATTATTTTTACTAAAAATATACATATATAGGGTGATCAACTATTCTATATCAGATTTTCTACTTGAAACTTTTACTCCATTAGTTTTTATTACTAATTTATATTGTTTTCAAAAGGGCCCCATTTAAAAAGAATAAATTATGCGATAGATACCATTGCTTGCATACAAACAGGATACCCGATAGATATGAAATTTTCAAGAACAGTATACCGGGTGCGTCTCAAAAGTGGCTCACCCCTATAACTTTTTATTTTTTCAGATAAAAAACGAGATTTGGTATGTTAATATATGACATAAATTAGGAGTGAGTGACGTATTTAATTGTTTTTCGTCACTTCCTGTTTCACCGCAAATGACTACAACTTTTGATTTTTAAATGGCACCCTCGGTATTTTTTTTTACTTTATTCGTTAGAAAATGACATTCTGAATGGAAGGACATAACATATGTCAACTTTTGATATTTTCGCTTAATAAAAAATAGTATTTTAAATTTCAATCTAGAGTGCCATGGCTATGTTAAAACAATAATTCTTAATCAAGGAGCATTGGAAAAATAGATTGGATCGTCTAAGGTTTTTAGTGTCTTTTCCTGGCCTGTTATAAAATGCTCCAATCGTATTTTTAATCATATCTCAATTATTTCAAATAGAACGAGGGTGGATTATTAGCATATTTAGGAAAAGCATTTTTTACGAATACTTTGATACCACACACTTGGTATTTTGAGTCAAATTTTCGTTACGAACCGCAAGTTATAATTTCAAATAAACCATATGCGAAAATGTCAAAAGTTGACATATGATATGTCATTATATGCAGAGTGTTATTTTTTATCGAATACAGTAAAAAAATACCGAGGGTGCCATTTAAAAATCAAAGGTTGTAGTCATTTCCGGTGAAACAGGAAGTAACAGAAAACAATTGAATACGGCAATCAATCCTAATTTGTCATATACTCACATACCAAATTTCGTTTTTTTAACTGAAAAATTAAAAAATGTTATAGGGGTGAGCCACTTTTGAGACGCACCCGGTATTCATTTACTTTGAACCTTATAATTTTTAAAATTCCTGACACAAACTTGAAAATAAAACCGACTCATGTGACCACTGAGTCACCTGAGTATACACCAAATAACAATTTTTCACGAAATAGATTCACAAACTGGTATATAACCTCTATATTTATTTCCTTTATTTAGAGACATTATTCCCACTAAAACTTAGTTATTTATTGTCTTCTTATAGATAAATCCTAACTGCGAGATGTGTGTTTACTCCTCAGGGATACTTAAAGGATGTTGAAGGTAAAATGCAGGGATAATACCGCATGATCGAAAAAAAAAACGATGTCCAGTTGGCTTGGAAATGAACATCAATGACATTCCCATATAATTTTACATACAGCCATCGCTGACGCGCATTCATAGCCATCGCTTTCTTTCGGCCATATTATAATATTTGAGAACACTTTTCCTTTTTGCTTATTACCTTTTTTAAATTTATCATTTATTGTTTCGGATTATTATTTCCATTTATATTTATTAGAATTTACTCAAATCACTATTTTCTTATGTCACCTTTAGTTGTGTCTATCGAAAATATAAAGAGTGAGTTGATGGTAATACCTGAACCATTGTCAGTCATTTCCGCACCATCTGTATGCAACGACATGTCTGCAATACGCTTCAAAGCCTGTACATGGATATGTTTGAGTAAATCAGGATAATGCCTTACAACGCGCAAAAACTGTTCCCTATTTAAACGAAATAGCTGACAGGGTGTTACCGCCATTACTGTAGCTACTCTCGCTACATTAACCACTAAGGATATTTCTCCAAAGTGGTCACCATCTCTAAGATAACGAACCACTCTCCCTTTGGGTGTTTTAATCACTACAGTTCCCGCTAGAATGAAGAACATACATCGACCTGTAAATATTTTTAAATCAATATAATTTTCAGTAACAAATATTACCACATTATACTCAGTTATTATATTTGCTCCTATAACTGACTATAGATGATACCAAATAAACTTTTAGTCACGTGATTAAGCTTGGCTGGCACAGCGTTGCCCACTTTTACATATTTTCTTTCAATCAAAATATTTTAGGAAACAAAAATAAATTCATTATAAATATACAGGGTGAGTTTACTACGATGTTCTCTATGGGTATCTCGGAAACTACTGGAGATAGAGAGTCGGTGAAATGGGAAAAGAATTACAGTTGTGTGGGGCCATAAATATGCGCCTCAGATTTTTGAAAAAGTTCATGGCTTACTAGATATTTCGAAAAAAACAAATTTTGGCTATTTTAAAAATTGTCCCCAATTCCATTATAATCTATTTTAGACAAAATGTTTTCAGATAAAAATTATAGATAATCACATCCCTAATGAGTTTGTGTTCTCCGATTTTTCTTAAAGCCTGTCATTTTTGACATATGATCCAAACATATGTTTTTTTAAATGGAAATCATTCACTTAGTTTGGCATGGTGTTCTTATTTTGTTATGATTTATAACTTAATATATATAAAAAGACAAAATATATTATTATATGGCTCTTTATAATTTACATTACACAAACTAAAACTTCACATATCACTACATACACTTTAAGTTATTTTAGAAAATGGTCAAAAAATCCGCCATTGTTTTGAGTACATAAATGTATCTTTTAAAACTGAATTTCTATCTGTTCTCACAGAACGACCGGTCGACTTGATTAAACTTCTCCTGTACCGCCTCTTCGAGTACCTCTCTTAATTCATAAGTTCTTTTGTAAACATTGTTGTTAACCATACCGCATAAAAAAATCTAAAATGAATAGGTCAGGTGATCGAGGAGGCCCATGCAATTGGTCCACCTCTTTCTATCCCTGAGTCTACATAATTATGATATAAATAATTTTTAACATTTCTTTCATTGTGGGGGTGGGGGCTGGTATGTCTGTGTCATAATGAAAGTCATGTTGGAACCACTCTATTAATGGGCCAGTATCTAAATTTACCTTTTCTAACATGTCTTGAAAACCGTTCTCTAAAAAACGTAAGTAACGTTCAGCGGTCCACGTATCCTCATTTGTTTTTCACACAGTTTCACATCTCTTAGAGCAACAACGATTGAACTTGTTTCCATGGCTGACTAAGTGAAATTAGCCAAGAAATATAAGAATTGGCTATAACTCAGTAATTTTCTGAAAAAAAAACATATTATAGCTTATATCGCTGAAAAGCTTAAAAAATGGCGCTTTTTATGGAGTCATGGCCAACTATGGTTTCCATCTAAAAAAACATATGTTTGTGTCATATGTCAAAAATGACAGGCTTTAGAAAAAATCGGAAAACACAAACTCATTAGGGATGTGATTATCTACAACTTTTATCTGAAAACTTTTTGTCTAAAATAGATTATAATGGAATTAGAGACTTTTATTAAAATGTCCAAAATTTGTTTTTTTCGAAATATCTAGTAATCCATGAACTTGTTCAAAAACCTGAAAGGCGCATATTTATGACCACACAAAACTGCAATACTTTCCCCATTTAACCGACTCTCTATCTGCAGTAGTTTCCGAGATACCCATAGAGAACATCGTAGGAAACTCACCCTGTATATAAACAGTTATTATTTACTTCAACAAAACTCACCTCCTTAACAGCACTTAAGGGGCATAAAGGGCCATTACTACCGCTTTCCCGTTCAAAATATTCTAATAAGGTTGCGATGAGTTTTTTTGTAGCGCCTATTAAGCTATTTTGTACATTGTACACTTCGCACTAAAAAAGGTTCTAAAAAGAACTATGTTCGACTGCAAGGTCTGCTAGTAAAAATTTTTAAGCTTAAAGTATCACAACATAATTCATTTTTAAACCAAAAACTCATAATTCATAATACAAAACTAAAGTATCGAAACCAATGACAATGCCAAGAAATAAATAAATAAATGTGGCAACTTGACATTTTTTTACAGCAGAGCTGTATCCCCAGCCGAAAATTTAAATTCCAGTTAGTCAGCCCCGCGCCGAATACGGTTATGGTTGGCAAATGAATTTAAAAATCGCGTCCTCGATTACGCAACTAAAAGTTTAATAGGGTCCTTGCACGTGTCGGGTATAATTTAAATATTTATACATTTTTACCTAAAACATATAGGTATATGTAAAAAAATCAGTTTGTACAAATTCCATCTGGAAAGTACAGCTGGTTCCAAAAAAAAGAATACGACTCTTTACACATTTTTTTTTCGAATATTTGAGCAGTGTATTGAAAATGTGTCAAGTATTTTGACATGTTAAGGTTATTGTGATTATTAAATAAAAGAACTTTGCTTTTGACAAAGTGGCAAATAAATTTTTCAGAATGTCAGCATGACATGAGTAGAGAAATGAAAGACTGGTATAATAGAATATACTGCCCGAAATAATAAAAATATGTTTTAAATCGTATTCAAGTTTATTGGAACCAGCTGTACTTAAATTAATTGAAATTCATTGAAATTCGCTTGGCGCGAAAACGAGGCGTGACGTCACAGATCAAATTATCGGCTCACAGCGGACGCATTCCATTTAAATAAAGCGTTGCACTTTGTTTAGAATTATAACAGAACCAGTGTTGCCAGAATTGCAGGATTTCCTTCAATATGAACAATAGTCAAATCTCGTCGATTAAAGGGCCATTTTTGAAGAATTTTTATCAAAAAAGGAGACAATATGAAGGCTTCTGGCAGCTTTGCACAATAAAAATTGTTAAAATATGTAGTAGGAGTATTTATTGTTATATCCTACATGTATTTTTTCACTTAACGGTGTTTAATTAAGGATGAAGTTAAAAGCAATTCAAAAAGTTCACAGTTCGAAATATTTTAACATTTAACAAAAAAAAATAATAGATACATTTTTATCTTTCAACACGTTTTATTACACACATACCATAACTAAACCAAAGTTCTTGACGTTGAAAAGTAAATAAATAGGTAAACGGAAAACATAAATATCTAATAAGTCAGCTGATCATGGCCTCTTGATTAATTATTTTAGATTGAAGCAGCCATTGTAAGAAATACATTTTTTGAGTTTTTGATCATGTTATTTTTTAATAAAAAAATTATATAAATACATCAGTGTACCAAAATTACCAGAAATAGGTTTTTAAAAATTTTCTCCTTATTATAAAATAAGTAAAATACACGAAATTTGGTGATTTTTTACAAGATTTGGATTTTTTTGTGAAGTTGAAGAAATATGAAAGGCTTTTAACGCTCCGTTGAAAAAATTCGCTCGAAAATATCTGACAACACTGCTATTCTCTATTTGACGCATATACAGGGTTGCCAGACCTAGGGAAATTTCCCTAGATCTAGGGAGTTTTGCTGCCCATAGGGAAAAAGGGAATTATTTTTAATTTACTGACAAATCTAGGGAATTTTTGAATATAGTGAAATTTTTAATAAATATTAATGTATAAACTATAAATACTAATAATTAATATATATTATAATCTGGAATAAATATGACATTATTGAAAATTTGACCTTCAAAACATAAAACAGTCGTCTAAATGAAATAGATCAAGAATGGCGTTTATTAAGAAATTTAAATTTTGATGAATTTGCAAGTACTGAACCAATACAAGAATTTTGGTTAAAATTATCTAAATTAAATTTGGGCGATCAAAGTAGTTTCTGTTCAAATTTATGTTCATTTATTTTTTTACTTTTATCCTTGCCACACTCAAGTGCCACCGTTGAAAGGACTTTTTCACAGGTGAATTTAAATAAAACAAAAATTCGCAACAGACTGTCGCCGGACACATTGTGTGGTATTTTGCATGTGAAAGGTTTGTTAAAGTCAAGTGATTGTTTTAATTTTTCCATTACCGCAGATATGATAAAAAAATTTAATTCAGAAAATATGTATCCAGAGAAAAAAAATAAATAAAAATGGTTTGTTTATTTAAAATAATGGTTTATTTAGGAATTAATCAGTTACTTTTCTGTTATTTAAATTTTATTTTGTTTTTATAATTAATAGGTACGTTTCTTAGTTACCATTTTTTTAGTTTGTTATTTATATAAGTAAAAATAAAAATAATGTAATAACTAAAACTAAATTTCATTCTCCCATTAGTCCAATTTCCACTAAAATATAAAATATAAAATTGTCTAGGGAAAATCTAGGGAATTTTCTGTCAAAAATCTAGGGAAAAAAAAATATATCATCTGGCAACGCTGCGCATATATCAAGTACCGTATGATCGAATAAAAACGGCGTCAGCGATGGCTATGAAATGAAGATCGCTGTCATTTTATATGTAAATTTATATAGGAAATGCCATCGATCGTCATTTCCAAGCCAACTGGACGCCGTTTTTATTCGATCATACGGTATATTCTGTGGCATACATGTGGGCAGACATGCTCGTGCGTCAAACGAACGTCAATGTCAATCTCATCAATCTGCAATTTGTAAATCGTCGAGATCTAAATAAAAGTCGATGAAATTCGATAAAAATAATCCATAAAAAAGGCAAATAACAGTTAAAATAGGTAAAAAAAAGTTTTAACGATGGTATTGATATAATATTAAAGGTATTTTATTACAGGTTATGGAAGAGAAATACTTATAGGTAGATAGAATCAGATAGAATAGTGAATGTGAAATTTCTAGATAAAATATTAACAAGTAGTATTGTATTTAAAGGTATGAATAGAGATAATTAAATGCTAATTATATACTTAACCTATAATTTTCTAATATATACATATACTTACTGTTAACGTTAAAAATATTCATGGCATAAAAGAATAAGGGCAAAAACATTCAAGAAATGATTATTTAATAGAAAATAAGAGGGATTTTTATGTAAACCTTTTTGATTTGACGTTTTCATACGTAATAATCTGTAGGAGTTTAAAAGATTGTTACACGAATCTATTTTGTTAGTTTAAAAAAACAATGAACATGAAATGGATGAAACAGTAGAAACCGCTGGCGCCGAACACCAATCCAATTTTATGATTAAAAATTCTTGTTCAGTGACGAAGTATAACTTCATAAAATCAATCAAAACACTATTTTTATTCACATAGGCTTGTTGACAAGTTGTAAACATAAATCGTGTACGTACCTATTTACTTTTGCTCCTCCAATTTTGGCAGAAGTAAACAAAACATTCTGCGAAAAATAATAGGCGATCATCGTCGAATCTACTTTCCGTAGATTGGCTGTGCTTTATTATAATCCGGTTCGGTATTACCTCCGGTTCAGTCATAATTCTAACAAACTGAAACACCCAGTGATATCTAAATAAATTTGAGAAACATCTACATAAATTAGAAATTATTTAGATGTCAAATGTCATTAGGAAGAGCTTATTAAAATTTAAATGGAATGCGTTCGCTGTGAGCCGAAAATTTTAACATTTTTGACGTCACGCCTCGTTTTCGCGCCAAGCGAATTTCAATGAATTTCAATCATTAATTTAAGTACTTTCCAGATAGAATTTGTACAAACTGATTTTACTTATATATGTTTTAGGTAAAAATGTATTAGAAATCATAAATATTTAAATTATACCCGACAAGTGCAAGGACCCTATTAGTATAACTGACTAGCTGAATTTGAAACTTACCTAACTTCCCTGCCTGGATAATGACATCACTAGGCAGATATATTTCGCAAGTAAAATTGGCTCTCAACTTTTCCAAAATACTTTCTGGTAGTTCTTTGAATAAGAAAACTTTCTTTGTACTTTCTTTGGAAATTTCAACTAGAACCTCTCTGCGTAAAGTGTCAGAGGTTATTCGTACTATCGTAGACTCCTGTGAGAGGTAATACAGAGATTTTCAATTACAAGACTAAATAAGGGCTAAATAAATTGGGGCTAGAGTTTGTTCAACGAATCGGAAGGGTCTCGACAGACGACATAAAAAAATGACAGAAAGTACCAATTGTCTATGAATTAAAGTGATAGATGTACAACTGTCACTATCTGGGATCGTCCCGTTGGACAGACTATACATTCAGTTTCGTAACGCCCAACCCAACCATATAATCACGAAACATCCCCCTTTAGAACTTCATCTGTCATGTTAAGAAAATTAAAGTAAATAAAGCGTCTCTCGTGTTTGTTCGCATACTGAAAAATTCAATTAATACTTATATATTCTTAATATATTTTTTAAATTTAATTTTTGTTTAATTGTAAATAGATTAAATTTATATGGAATATATTACATAACAATTAGCTATGTCAATTACAGGCTTGTTTTCTAACATTTTTTAAATAAAACGAATTATAAAAGCTTTGTTCGTTTTCTTGTTATTATACCGATTCTGAACCGTCCAAGAACTGCGATGCGTATGCGCAGAAGGAAATATTAAGACATTATTTCATTTACGTATGCGCTGCAGAGTTCTAGGACGGTTCAGAATCGGTAATAACAGGAACCCGAGAAAAGCTAAAATTTCAATATATAGGAACTTCCAATAGCTTTGTTCGGGTTCTTGTTATTACCGATTCTGAACCGTCCTAGAACTCTGCAGCGCATGCCCAAATGAAATAACGTCTTCATATTTCATTCTGCGCATACGCATCACAGTTCTAGGACGATTCAGAATCGGTAATAACAAGAACCCGAACAAAGTTTATATAGGTATAACAACTATTTAAAACAACTTTGGGTGCACGTCATGAATGACACCATGCGTCGTCTTATGGAGTTTGATGGTGGTCGTATTATGATGTGCAACCAAAAATATTTTAATTTCCCTATAAGTATATTTGTCGTAGGTATGAAAAAAGTAAAATATAAAATGGACAAACGCTTACTTACATTTCAATAAAACTTCCACTTTTAGTTTTGCAGTCCAAACGCAATATATCTATTTCACAAATAAAAATTACCAACAACACTATAAAATCACTGAAACTTCCGTGGCTGAGAAACGAAAACTGAAAAATATAACATCACTTCTGTTTTGAACCTGCATATCAAAATTACGTTGTACCATTATATTTTTGTTTTTGAAATAATATAAAATATAATAGAATTGTCTATTTACTAATTATAACTTGTGAATTTTTATATTTTAACTACATCTGACAATAACTAACTTTTTGTTATCAAGATGACATTTTAGGCGGCAACTGACATACTAGGTCCGGCAAGAGTGCGTCGGGCATCTGTAATAATAATAATTTTGTTTAATTGCAAACCTAAAGTATGCACTAGGATGTATTTCAGGAAAATATTTTAACTTCTATAGGGTGCCTCAAAAAGTGAGTGGATCGGATGGTTTTTTTTTAATGGAACACCCTGTATATTATTGCATATTTTTCTCCTTTCAGATCACTTTACATAATCCTAAGATATGAGTAAATATATTTCGATAGTCTCAGAGAATATTAATAAATAAATAAAAAATATACTAAGGGCTGGCAATGGTTAGTCTTGGGTCGAGATTTCCGTATGTAAAAAGAGTACTATGCGTTTATAATATACTGAACAAAGAGAGAACAGTAAACACGTTGCCAAACGTATGAAATAAACCGAGAAACTGTGCACGTTGCTAAGAGACGTTGAAGGGGATATAGCAGATTTGTCGCAGTCGACCGGTTGACCCATAGAGAAAGTTAATAGTTTAGAGAGTGCCAATTTTCTAAACTACCCAAAAATCTAAATTAAATTCGCCAATTTGGGGAGAAAAATGTCCCGATTCACCAAAAATTCCCCATATGATTATTTTAACAAAAAAAATAATTTTAATAAAAATACAATATTTATTATATATGTTAGAGGGATCAAACTGTAAATTACCTCCTTGTTTTTTAATCCCTTCCCTAGTAGTCATTAAATAATTTGAGGTCACTAAATTTCCTTTCAACTGAAGCATTTGCAAAGGGAAGCACAAGTAAAAAGCAGATTGTAATTTTTAAGTTGGGAAAGATATATCGTCCCGCTCCCTTTTTAAAGCTAAAAATTTTACGCCATTTTCAATCAGCAATAAAATGTTGAAACTCCCCTTATTTTCGCCGCCTATTGCTAACCCCCACAAAATTTGGAGAATTCCTCACAAATTGGCAACGCTGGAGGTTAGCGTGTTCTTTCTGAATATTCTAAGACTAACGGACTAGTGTCGAAACACAGATAGCTAGATGGGCGTATTTCGGCACTTGCGTCGATGCGCTACAGGAACATTTGCCTGCGCGTCGTATGTCTTCTGGCAGTCTTTTAATTTTTCTGTTTGTCTATGGGTTGACCCAATCAGTACCTCTGTCAGTACTTAAAGTTCTAGGGAAAAGTGTACATTATGCGTTCAGCTTCACGATTTAATTACGTCTCGTGAAACTTTATTTGTTTATTTATTACCGAGTCGTTGTAATTTTCCCTATAGCTTGAAAATATTTAATGCAAGTTAGAAACACTTGCATTTTTGGTAAAAATAAGTGGAATTGAGTTGGTGTTTGACAGTGGTCGCGCTATTAGAACTGTGCATTCAAAAATCGATATCTCGAAATCTATTAGAAATAATTGATTGTAGTTTTTCAAAAACTTTCTTCGCAGACAGTATGCAAAAATCTTTATAAATAAAAAAGTTACACGATTGCTGAAAACTGCTATGCCCTAAAGGTAAATGGATGGGTTGTTTAAATTTTAGAATGGAAAAAAACAACCTTATCGAATTTTTCTTATGTAAACATATTGTAAATGATCCGATCTTCAAAATAAAAAAAGCTTTAATATCTAAAGTGGTTCTCAAGTTATGGCGCGTTGTGTGTAAAAAAGTTGAGTTTTTAAATTATCGCGATTACTGACGTCTTCTCGTTATAAAAAAATGGACACCCTAAAGATATCGTTATAATTCCATTTCAGATGCTCAGAAACATATCTAATGATTTTATCTAGTTACCTTTTCAAAAAAAATAAGCGGTTTGCGATCGTGATTTTACTTTACTTGATAGGGAGGCGTATTGGCAACAACGCAACAGCACACCGTCGCATTTATCTCACTCCTACTTAATAAGATCCCTATGCGATTTACTTCCACACATGTAAATACTGACCCAAAAGTAACAGTTGCCAGTACGGTATATACCTATTTTAGCCTTTCTTAAAAAATTATTTAAATTATAAGCACTGTCTTGAAATCAAAACCATATTAGGTTGTTACTTTAGATGGTCTGTACTTACTTTGCTATGAATATGGTAATCTTAAATCACACAGAATGTTCAAAATTGTACACCAAACTTTCCAAAATATAAAATAATTTTTCTTCGTTTTTTTTAATGGAGCACCGTGTATATTTTTTTATTAAATGGGGAATTAAAAAATATTTTTTTTTGTATTTAGGGTAATTCAAAACTTTTATATCTCATATGGCGTTTTGCACAGTAAATTTTTATCAAAGCCACCCAATGATTTTTCTCTCGTATTTTACCGTTGAAAGCGCCATATGAAATAATTCTGCGTGTATCTGCGAAACCATTAAAATTTTTGAAATACTTTAAATACAAAAAATGTTCATTTTCTAACTCTCCATCTAATAAAAAAATAATATACAGGGTGTTCCATTTACAAAAAGAAAGAGAAATTATTTTATATTTTAGAAAGTTTGGCGTAGAATTTTAAACACCCTGTAGATTATGATATTTATATCAAAGTTAGTATAGACCATCGGAAGCAAATACCTGATATAGTTTTGATTTCAGGGCAGTTGTTGTACCTATATTTAATAATTTTTTGTAAGAAAGGTTGAAAAATATATATTTTTTATTTATTTATTAATATCTTTGAAACTATCGAAATATATTTACTCAGATCTTAGAATTATGTAAAGCGATATGAAAAGAAGCCAAACCAAACCAAACCAAAACAAAATTCTCATGTTTTTTGCTACAGATGCCCGACGCACTATTGCCGGACCCTGTATATGTCATAATATTTTAATTTTAAGTAGGTATATATGTAATATAATAATTTAAATTAATACAACGCAACTTTATACTAAGAAAACATTTATGCATTCACAAACTACAACAAAATCTAATAATATAGTTTGAAAACAATGAAAATTGAATTAAAATTAAAAAAAGCTAAGCGCGACCCCTTGTGTCAAAATTAGATGATTAAATTTTCGCAATTTTTGTACCATTTGATAAACGGTGGCGCCTCTAGTGTTTGTTCGCACCATTAGTCTTTTACTTCCGTTTATGGCCATTAAAGAAAAAGTTCTAAAGGGGGATGTTTTGTGCATATAATACTCACTTTATAATATCTCCTTTGGTATTTAAAATTTAGGCATAAGAATATGCGATGTCTTTTTTCAGCAGGTAACGCCTTGTATTTAATAAAAGCCTCCACGGCATCATACACAGTATTTTGCTTATTCTCACAGCTTAAGAACTTATACCAAATTTCCATAGCCTAAGAAAATCAGCTCTAAAGAAATGTCATTTGCTCGTAATTGTAGACAATAAGTGCTACAAAAAAGGTGATTATAAATGTTGTGCTTCTTTAACATTTTAAAACTGCAAAAACTCTAAAGTCAATAATCAAAATTATCTAATAAAAATCAAAGAAGGGAACATTATACAGGGTGTTAACTGTATCTCCGAACTGTATTCCGGAAACTTCGGCAGCATATTCTGCAGATAAAAATAAGTAAAAAAGTTTGTATAACTGTATTTTTTAAAATAATGCTTAATTTCGGAGATACAGGGTGTAGAAGTTACTTTTCATTTTTATTTCGATTTTTTCCAAATAATTTCTGAAGTAACGTCAATATTTAGATGAAAATTGGTGTCTGGGAGTTTTTTGACATAAGAAATTTGATTTTGATGTCAATATGACTCCTATTTGTAGGGGGCGCCAACTTCTGACACAGTGTCATTCCAGATTTATACCGGGTGCGTCTCAAAAGTGGCTCACCCCTATAACTTTTTATTTTTTATAACATACATTAGGATTGATTGACGTATTCAATTCTTTTCGGTCACTTCCTGTTTCACCGGAAATGACTACAACTTTTGATTTTTAAATTCCAACCTCGGTATTCTGTTACTTTATTCGATTCAACTTTTGACATTTTTGAATATGGTTTATTTGATATTGCAACATGCAGCTCATAACGACAAATTGACTCGGAATACCAAGTGTATGGCATCAAATTATTCGTAAAAAATGCTTTTTCCAAATATATTAACGAGCCACCTTCGTTCGATTTGAAAAAAAATCAGATATGATTAAAAATACGAGTTGGACATCTTTTAACTGGCCAGGAAAAGATACTAAAAACATGAGACGATCAATTCTATTTTTCTAAGGCTCCTTGATTAAAAATTAGTGTTTTTAACACAGCCATTGCACTCTAGATTGAAATTTAAAATACAGTTTTGTTTTAAGCGAAAATGTCAAAAGTTTACATATCATACTATGTCGTTCTATTCAGAGTATCATTTTCTATCGAATAAAGTAAAAAATACCGAGGGTGTCATTTAAAAATCAAAAGTTGTAGTCATTTCCGGTGAAAAAGGAAGTGGCTGAAAAGAATTGAATATGTCAATCAATCCTAATTTATGTCATATACTAATGTACCAAATTTGGTTTTTTATCTGAAAAAATAAAAAAAAGCTATAGGAGTGAACCACTTTTGAGACGCACCCGGTATATTTTGTATAAAACCTATTATAAAATAACTAAAAAATAATATAAAATATCTATGAAAATCGCACAAAAACTTCATATGCGTTAAAATAAAAGTCAAACAGAACTGAGAGAGAAGGTAATTCAAAATGGTTACAATGCCTAGCTTCTGTTATTAATGTCTGGTTATAAAAATAGTTATTTTCGGTTTTCTCTTAAGGTACATTCCGGCTGAGAGCGTCGCGTCGCGTCGATGCGTTCAGACTGGAAGCGTCAGTTCAGCGTCGTGTGAGACTTTTACATTTCTACAGGGTGAGTTTCCTACGATGTTCTCTATGGGTATCTCGGAAACTACTGGAGATAGAGAGTCGGTTAAATGGGGAAAGAATTGCAGTTTTGTGGAGTCATAAATATGCGCCTTTCAGATTTTTGAAAAAGTTCATTGCTTACTAGATATTTCGAAAAAAACAAATTTCGGCTATTTTAAAAATTGTACCTAATTCCATTATAAGCTATTTTAGACAAAAAGTTTTCATATAAAAGTTGTAGATAATCACCTCCTTAGTGAGACTGTGTCCTTCATTTTCTTTTAAAGCCTGTCATTTTTAACATATGACACAAATATATGTTTTTTTTAAATGGAGACCATAGTTGGCCATGACTTCATAAAAAGTGCCATTTTTTAAGCTTTTCAGCAATATAAGCTATAATATGTTTTCTTGGAAGAATTACTGAGTTATAGCCAATTCTTATCATTTTTAAACAATTTCACTTAGTTAGCCATGGAAACAAGGCCATTGCTCTCAGAAATGTGAAGCTGTCACATCCAAACTTGTATTATAAATATATATTATATATAAAACGAAAATTGTAAATATGCATTTTTCAAATGAGGAAAAGCGTGTAGATACTCGCGCATCAATACGGGGGGTTATAATGACTTTCATTATAACCCCTCCCCCCCTCCCCCATAATGAAAGAAATGTTAAAAATTATTTATATCATAATTATGCATACTCAGAGATAGGAAGAGGTGGACCAATTGCATGGGCCTCCTCGATCACCTGACCTATCCATTTTAGATTTTTTTATGCGGTATGGTTAACAATAAGGTTTACAAAAGAACTTGAACACTCGAAGTGGCGGTACGAGAGAAGTTTAATTAAGTCGACCGGTCCTGTAAGAATAGGTAGTAATTCAGTTTTAAAAAGATGCAACTCAAAACAGTGGCGGATTTTTTGAACATTGTCTAAAATAACTTAAAGTGTATGCAGTGACATTATTTTTTTTAAGTTTTAGTTTGTGTAATGTAAATTGTAAGGGACCGTTTAGTAATATATTCTGACTTTTTATAAGTTATAAATCATAACAGAACAAGAATACCATGCAATCTAATTGAAATTAGCCAAGAATGATAAGAATTGGCTATAACTAAATTTAACTTTTCTAACATGTCTTGAAAACCGATCTCTAAAAAATGTAACATTCACCGGTCAACGTATCCTCGAAAATGTATAGTCAAGAAAAGTTGAACCAATAATTCTACACGCTTTTGTTCATTTGGAAAATTCACAATTTTTGCTTATTTTAGTTTACAAAGTTTGGATGTAACAGCTTTACATTTCTAAGAGCAAACACGATTAAACTTGTTTCCATGGCTAAGTGAAATTGTTTAAAAATGATAAGAATTGGCTATAACTCAGTAATTTTTCGAAGAAAACATATCATAGCTTATATCGCTGAAAAGCTTTAAAAATGGCGCTTTTTATGAAGTCATGGCCTACTATGGTTTCGATTTAAAAAAACATATGTTTGTGTCATATGTCAAAAATGACAGGCTTTAGAAGAGAACGGAGGACACAGTCTCATTAAGGGTGTGATGATCTACAACTTTTATCTGAAATTTTTTTGTCTAAAATAGCTTATAATGGAATTAGGGATAATTTTTAAAATAGCCGAAATTTGTTTTTTTCGAAATATCTAGTAAGCCATGAACTTTTTCAAAAATCTGAAAGGCGCATATTTATGACCCCACAAAACTGCAATTCTTTCCCCATTTAACCGACTTTCTATCTCCAGTAGTTTCCGAGATACCCATAGAGAATATCGTAGAAAACTCACCCTGTATAGTTTGTAAAATGGCTTTAAAGAGAGCAGTTTATTTAATTTTACTATTAGAGACACCATATTCTGCATTTAAATAATAGACAAAAAAGTTGGAGAACCTACCTAAAAAAATAGACAATCAAATAAACATAAACCTTTCAAACGTTTAGAATAGAGATAGCTATAATTTCTTTTCACTGATGAGATAATGATCGCAAAATTAATTTTTAGTGAAAATATTTGCTAACAAAAACGCTGTTTATGAAAAATAATATACAGGATGGTTGAACATTGCTATAAGTATAAAATTATATATTCAGATATTAGTAAATTTTAACTTATTTTTTGATTTTTGTCCATGGGACGAAGCACTGTGCGACGCAGACGCGACGCAACGCTCGACGCTCTCAGCCTGAATGTACCTTTATTCTTTTAATTTATTGAGTATAAATGAAAATTTAGAGATACATATCAGGGCTACTTACATAAACAAATATTAGTAAGTGCACTATAAATCCGAACAGAATTAAAAAAATTGGTATTATTTTATCAGACAGTAGTTCGCTGTTGTGCAATCCATGACCAACCAACATCACCACTTCTAGAACGGATACGGTGCTATCTTTAGGAGATATGTTTCTGTATGCAGGGACTTCTCTCTTAAAAAATCAAATATAAAATGACAGTATATTTTTAATTTTGTTTTAATATAATTCTTTCTTCTTGTCAAAGACGGCTGGGGAATGAAAATCGATGATAATTTTGGCAAGGTCAAGTATTAGACGTTATGATTTTTTAAATAACCTTTCTTTATTTTTTGATAGCGTTGTAATTTAATTTTATGTTCAGTGAAAATAATTTTGAAACAATGTATTCGAAAAAAATATTTGGATGTCGGTTATCATTCTCACCTGTAAAGTAAAAAGTTACACAAGGTAGTTACTCAATCCATTTAAAAACAAAAAGTTGTAGTTATGTCCAGTGACAGGAAGTAACCGAACCACCGAAACTAATAATTGAATACGTCAATCAATCCCGTCATAATATACTAAGATTCCAAATCTCGTTTTTTATTCTGAAAAAATAGAACGGGCCCGTATTCTGTAACTTTGAAAACGCTAAGCGCTTTTAGACGCTCAGCGTATATGACGTTAATTTTCGCTAACCGCGCACTTAATTAACGATTTCGATATTCTCGTCTGATGCGCTTAGCGTCTTTACTGATTGCGCTGAGCGCTTTGAAAACGGTTGCCTTAAGGGATCGTTTTGCTTGTCGAACTGTTGTGCGTTATCTTGCTCTTTAGTGAAAATTACCACTTCTATAAATTCCTCAATAAGTAATTGATAGTTTCCGACTTGGCAGCTATAAATATTGTTCAAAATATCGAAAATGCTGAGAAGCGTCTTCAACGCTTCCCTCGTATAATAAGAATAATGACATATCCATAGAAAAATAGGTTGACATAACTCAACAATAGGTTATGAAATTCACGCAACATTGACATTTTTCATTGTTACATCCGTCAGTTATCAACTTTTGACTATTACCTACATTAGAAATTGTGATGTTGCCAATATGTGCTCAACGCGTATCCAAAACACGATTCACATGACAACGAGAATACCAAAATCGAGACCAAAATCGACTGCCTTGCGTTTCGCTGATCGCACACTTGCACTCACCGCTTTGAAAGCGTAACGTTTTTGTGTCAAAGTTACAGAATACGGGCCCAGAAAGCGATATGCTGCGCACTTGTGCGAAGAGCGGCGCGGCGAGGCGAATTTTTGATAGGCGCGCTAACTTATGCTCGGTTTTTCGTAGGCGGTTGGTATTTAAAGTTGTTTTGAGCTGACGCTTTCAATTTTCGTATTATCTCTTTAACGGTTTGATAAAGATGTATTAAAACTTCATTATGTCCTCAAGTTCAGAGCAGCAGAATTCTGAGGCAGATTTTCTTATTTTATGTAGAAATGCGTGAGAACAAAAAAAAATATTGGATTCATAACATTAATATAAAAAGAAATGCGTACGGAGAATACACCTTCACCTTCACTCAGGAAGACGAAAGCTGGAAGGCGAAAGAAAATGTTTCAAGTATTATATAGAATGACCGACGAAGAATTTGTTGAACTTCTTTCTTTGTTAAGACCAAATGTAGAGCGTCAAAATTCTAGATTTCGCTGCCCAATTGGCGTTAACAAAAGACTTTGTTTTTCTCAGACAAGTTTTTAATAGCGTCTAAATAAAATTAATAGAGAACAATTTATTTTATTTTATGTAATTCATGTTTTCTTAAATGAGTAGATACATATTTTCGTTATTCTAAATTAAGTAGTCCGTATATTGGTAGAAAATATTTTATTTTATTTTTGATCTAACAATAGCAATAATAGCTTAATTTATTTACAGATATTGTCTCGTCTCAATTGATTATGCTAATTTGGGTCACCAACATCATTAAATATAATTCTTTGTAGCTCTGTATAATCAAAATGAATGTTTCATCATCCATGATCTCAATAACTAAATAACAAGAAAAAAATTTAAACAAATCAAACCGGTTCTTGACTAAACACAACCTAAATGCCAATTAGTAATACAGTAATCGTAGAATCACTAATCCGAGCACACCCAAAATTAATTCCGAAAATGAGCGAAAACAAAGAAAGTTTCTGCTAACCAACAGTGCACGCGAAGCGCGCCGAAGAGAATTTCTTCGCTTTGGATTCCAGGTCTGCAACGAACGTCGCTTCGGCGCGCAGCGCAAGTGGTTGTTTCGCTTGGATCAGCGGACGTACATACATTCTATAACATAAATATAATCAATAAACAAAATATGAGTAATTTTTTCGTGGGTCATTCTACAATAATATTTGAAAAATTTTCTTTCATCTTCCAGGAAATCTGTGTGAAGGTGATGAAATTCTCCGTACGCATTTCTTTTTATGTTAATGTTATGAATCCAAGATTTCTCCTTTTTGTCCTCACGCATTTATTCTTCTTCGGTTATTGAATATAAAATAAGAAAATCTCCCTCTAAACTGCCACTGGAACTTGAGGACATATAGTGAAGTTTTAATACACCTTTAGCAAACCGTCACAGAGATAAAACTAAAATTGAAAGTTCAAAACAATTTTTAACTTTAAATACCAACCGCGTACGGGCAACGACCTAGCTACGTCGAAACACCGGTTCCCATTAGACAACTAACGACATTAAACACCGAAGTTAAGCGACGTAAGGCGATACTAGTGGATGGATGGGTGACCGGTTCGAAACTCTGTATCGTGCTGTTGTCCAAAAAAAGGCAAAAGTGTAAAATCTATTGACACACACTGCTCATTCACGCCGGTTCGAGGCCGGATGAGATCTGATATCTCGTGAGTAAGAGTCGATTTAGACACTTGCCAAGTCGGTAGGTCATTGACCGTGATATGGCCGAGGACCGCGGTTCGGATTCCGCGTAAACAAAGTAGGCCCCGTCCAGATTAGCCCTGGCAGCAAAAAGGAGACGTTAACTGAAACCTTTACTTTTACTTATGGAGTGTAGAGGTAAGGAGAAATAACTCTTACGGGACTTTTATTGAAAAAGTGGTCACAAAATGGGAAGAATAAGGGTTCGCCAAATAACCACAGTGGCGCTAAAAACGCATGATTCTAAAAAATGAAAAGTAACCATAGATAAGAGAATAAAAATAAATATAACCAAACATTACCCAAAAAAATTTTGTTTTTAGTTTTCAGACAGAGTTTTTGAATATAAAATAATTATTGTTTATCAATATTTTGTGCTCTATTTATTATTTAACAATGGTTAAAGTGTGTGTGGTGCGAAGTTGATTGAATAGCTGATGGAAAAATAAAGAGCAAAGGCAAAGCCTACGGTATGTATAATACATAATATAATTCAGTATTGTATTATTTGTGTTATATGTAAAAATTAGAGTCAATCAAAAGTGTAGTAAACATTTTTCGTAAGATTATTGACATACATGTTACAAAGTATATTTTTACAATCCTTTTTATAAAGTTACAACCTAAATAAAATTTATTTTTAATGATTTTAAAGTTTGACAGACATGCACAAATTGTTGGCATTTTTTTAAACAAATAAAAGTAGGAAATACATAAAATTGTAGGTACTTTCAAGAAATATAGTTAACTGTAAGTGCTGTATTTTAATAATCTATCAAAAATCAAAATCATCAGGATAATATTAGGTATTGATTTTCAGACAAGAATTAGATTACAGTGATGGTCAAAAGCATTTAGATATTGCTTTGAAATCTACAGATAAGGTATGGCAGTTTCATTTTAAAGAACAAGATGTTAAAGTTTGTGATAAAATTGTCATCAGAAATACTGTCCACTTCAGTATTTACATAGGAAAATATTGGAGGATGAAGCTCTACCTCCTCAGGTTAATTTAAATTCTGAATTGCAACAACAGCAACAAGCAAGAAGGGCACCATTAAATGAATATTATACACATCGTATGATCGAATAAAAACGGCGTCCAGTTGGCTTGGAAATGACGATCGATGGCATTTCCTATATAAATTTACATATAAAATGACAGCGATCTTCATTTCGTAGCAATCGCTGACGCCGTTTTTATTCGATCATACGGTATTATTATACACAGAAAGAGTAATGTTATACACATAAATATTAACATTTTGTAGAGCAACAACACAATAAAAAACCAAAATATGAACACCAGCAACTAAAACAGGAACCATTAAATGAATATTACACACGTAAGTACAATTTGATCGATCGAATAAAAAACGGCGTCAGCGATGCCTATGAAATGAAGATTGCTGTCATTTTATATGTAAAATGATATGGAGAATGTCATCGAGATGTTCATTTCCAAGCCCACTGGACGCCGTGTTTTTTCGATCATACAGTATTATTATACACATAAATAATAATATTATACACATAAACATCCCTTGATAAAGATCAACATTTTGTAGAGCAATAACAGCATCAAATAATGGAAATAATGGACCCTACTGCTCAAATCAAAAACAAAATTTCATCATTACCACTTTATTGGTTATATCAATAAAAGAAATTATTGAGTTTATGAGTCTAGATCCTACAAGCAAGCAGATCTATCACATAATTTAAAATGAAGATTTATCTATTATAGTATGTATAAACACTTTGCATCTTTTATTCAATGTTGTAATGAATTAACAAATTGCAGGTAATTTATTCTAATAATGAAAAAGAAACTTTGGATCAAAAAATATTTTCTTCTGATGAGGCTTATGAATATTAAAGTCTGTTGAAGTTTGGCCATTATGTGTTGGTATACAATTTATTTATGATGTTACAGTAGTTAAACCATCCGAATACAAAACATATTTAAAATCCACTATTCTTAATGAACCAACTTGAGAGGAAGCTAAGAGAAAGGTTCTATTGGGTGGACTACAAGAAAAAGGGACATATACATGAGGATCTGGAAGGGCTATAACATTACGTCTCAAGCCATGGAACAATAGGAAACGAAATTCAAAGGAAAATATTACAATACGTGGGATGCAAATTATAGTGCAAAGAATTGAGAAAAAGAATTATTAAAAGTAGTTATAGTTATGATAGTTAAACCATCCGACTACCAAATATATTTAAAATCCACTATTCTGAATGAATAGCAACTACCAACTTGAGAGGAAGCTGCGAGAACGATTCTATTGGGTGAACTACAAGGAAGACATGAGCATCTGGAAGGGCTATAAAATTATATTATTTCACGTTTCAAGCCATGTTGGAATAGCTGGGAGTGAAAAAGAAGATAATACTGCACACCATTCTTGTCTAGAAGTAGTGATATTAAGGTAGTTAAGCCATCCGACTATCGAACATTTAAAATCCACTATTTTGAATGAATGGCAACTACGATGGAGCAAAACGTAAATAAATACTTGTACAGTATAAAATTATATTATATTGGCTTAATTTTTATACTACAGAAAATGTGTTACGTTATTTTTGACCTGCATTATATTTATTTAAATCCCATATCATCAATTAAACTTTTAATAAAGTTTTTCTAATTATAATTAACATTAATTTTAAACTAAAGCTTTTTCATCTTGAATGAGATTTACGAAATAACTTATGAGAAACAATAAAAAGAGGCTCTGATATCTGAATAATCAATAATAAAACCACATATTGACTTACTTTTATACTAAATAAATGTAGATATGAAGTTATTTTAAAGCTGCATTATATTTATTTTAAACCCATCACCAATCATTACTTTAAATAAAATTTGTCTTAATTATAATTACCATTAATTTTAAGCTAAAACGATAAGAATATTTTTTCGTCGTCTTGAATGACATTTGCGAAATAAGTTATGAGAAACAATAAAAAAGGGCCTAGTGTATTGCTGCTGAATAAAAATCTGTAATTTATTTCATGCAACATGAAAATAAAATTGTATTTTTTTTAAACCCGCGGCTTCGCGTTTGCTTCACGTCAAATATTTATGTCTTGAATCATCTGTTCTAAAATGTTCGGCGCATGTCTTAAATTTTAGAATCTTGCTACAGCAGCGCCATCCTAATTCTTCCCTTTTTTTGACCATTTTTTAATGCACGGAGTTATTTCTCCTTACCTCTACACTCCATACTTTTACTTTTACCCTTGTATATATATATTTTCTTTTACCAACCGCGTACGAAAAACCGTCCATAATTTACCTATCAAAAATTCGCCGCGCTTCGCACAAGTGCGCGATACGCTTTATATAGGGGTGAGCCATTTTTGAAAAACACCCGGTATAAATATAATAGGTATTTCTATTAGAAAAAAGTATAAATAAAATGATATAAAATTTTTGTTTTACTCCTTTTATCATTATCGGTTTATAAAATATTTAAGGATGCCCTTCATTTAAGATAGTGTTTATTAAAAACATTTTACCAATCAACAGCATCTAACACCAGTATTACTTACCAGGTTGTAGTAAACTATAAGATTTAGCATCATCAGGAAGGAAGTAAAGTTTATAATGCTCCTTATTATGCGAAATATGTAATTACTTAAACCAATATACAGTCTGACTTGATTCAGTGTTTCAAGAAAGTAATAGTATCTGAAATTTAAAAAAAAATAAAATATAAATTACAAATTATAATGACGTGTTCCTATTTTTAATTTAAAATATTTAGACTATTATTACAAATTTCTATTGCATGAATAATATTTATCATAAAAATAATATGTCGAATCAATATGTTGTAATGGAAAAACCATACTCCAGCAGTGGAACAAATTATGTAAAGTGGGTGGACCATGGAAGGCCACTATAACGAATAAACAGTTTTTATTAGTTTATTTACTGGGTAAATGAAAGAAACAAATTTTTAATTAACACTTCAATTTATTGTATAACATATACATTACTTTTTTTATTCTAGATGTAATCACTATTTATTAAACTTAACTTTTATTAAGCTTTTCCAAATGGCCTTGCAAGGAACAGGGCTCCATACAAGGCCAATATTATAAATCAGTCGTTCAACTTAAAACTAGAGTTGTAATAATCAAAATATCCGCTTTTACTAAAACTACATAAAAACTATTTCTTTTAAACGAAAAATTATATACTTAACATATTATAATCTCCTTTAAAAAACGCAACAAAAATTCCTTGAACACAATCGTATAACTAAGAATAGCTTAATGGAAATTATTTAAAAATTATAGTAATGATTATTACTCATATATCGATAACAAATAAGTTGTCAATGCGTTTTAGAATGAAATTACAAAAAGAAAAAAATACCTATAATGGCTTTCTTATGGGTCTGTTCTTTGTAAGGCCTTTTTTTAGCTAAAAAGTTGAATAAGCCTTATAAATAATAATATTATAAACATAAAACATTGTTTCAACTTTCCCGGAACATATTTATAACTAAAAACTAAGTGTTCATATTTTCATGATTTGTAAATGTTCCTAGTAAGGCCCATGTACTCTAGCAAGGCCAACCGTCAAGTTTTCGATTGGACTTATAATGAACCACCGGCTTTCGTCTGAACACTCTGTGCCTATATTATAACTGAAATCAAAGCATTTTTTTTTCTATAGCACCATAACAAAAACTTATATGATAATTTACAGTAAAAAAAAGATAACCATAGATTATTTACATAAAAACTTACCTTTTTCCTGTGCGCGCGAATTACAATTTTAACATCGACGACCGAAGTCTATATACGAAGCGAGCTCTTAATGGAGCTGTGTGAGTGGAAGGAATTTGTCATCACATGGCAATAACTATGAGTTTTTATAGTTGGCCTTCAAAGGAGCATGGTCGTCCAAGGTCCACCCACCTTAATATATAAAACACAATGAATAATAAGTACAACTGTCGACTGAAAGAATGCATAACAGTGAGTATCAAATTTAATTAAATTGATGCCAACGAGGGTTGTCTTTTTGTTTTGCATATTATAGAGGTAGAAAAAAGAATAGATAACTTTTAACACTATTGTTTATTGAAGTATTTTCCTGTCGAAGAGAAATGCATTTTCCGTTGCAGCCAATTCTGAAAGTAGCTATTCCACTCGCTTTTTGGTACCTTCAAAATTGAGTTTTTGAAGGCACTGACTGCATTTTCTGGAGACTTGAAACTTTGACCATGCAGTTCATTCTTAAGTTTGGAAAATTAAGAAAAAGTCGGTGAGACTTAGGTCGGAACTGTATGGAGGATACTCCTAAAAATTCAATGTTTTCTTACTTTAAAAACTCAATTATTTGTCGAGCTGTGTGGGACCTTGCATTCTCTTAGTGGACAATTCGTCGTAGAGGGTTGGTTTTTCGAAACTCAGCAATTACTCACAGCAAATAAATAGATATGTACCAATGAGTAGTAACAGTTCTTTGATCTTGCAGAGGAATTGTTGCTACATGACCCGCTTTTGAGGCAAATATCGCCACCATTTTCTTGGAAATACTTGGAGAACGGATAACTTTCGTCGGTTTTGGTTCATCTCGAAACACCCAAACAGCCAATTGACGTTTATTTTCGGGTTCATAATAGTAACTCCAGGATTCATCACCACTGACAAAACCGTATATATTTTTTTGAGTTTTTGGACTCCAATTGCTCTATTTAATTTCGATTCTTCCGTCAACAGATGCGGTATTCAACGAGAAACTATTTTTTTTACAGATAATTCTTCACGCAAAATTTTTTGATTTGAGGTTTTTGAAATGCCCAACGTTGCTTAAATTTCACGATATGAGCAATGTCGATCTTCTTGGATCGGCTTACGTATAGCATCGACGTTTTCATGGGTGACTGCCATTGTTGGTCGATCTGTCCTAGAAATGTCGCTGAGACTAATCCGTCCGTTAAATTTTTCCTACCAACGAGAAATTGTCGACTGATGTGGTGCTTAATTCCCGAAAACAGAAACCAACTCGGCAAGGCATTCTTGTTGAGATAACTGCCTTCGAAAATTGTAAAAAATTATTGCGCGAAAATTCTCTTGGCTTAATTCCATTTTTCGACTGGCTCAATCTTAAACTGTAGTGTTAAGTTAAGTAAAGTTGACACTTAATTTGGACATTTGGTATAACTTAACAGAGGCCTTTTACATTTTTATATGTAAAATATAAAAGACAACCCTTGTATATTTTCTGTTATTTTTTAGATGTCTGTCGAAATCATATCACCCCCTATCTTACACCACTTGAGACTTCCATACAGACACAACTTTTATCATGCGAAGTGCCAAGAACGGTAAACTAATAGGATTGCTCATCCTCATAAGACGTACGTTCGCCTCTTCCCGCGCTTCAGCTGACAGTTGTGACGTCATTGTAGTCCTTGTCAAAGCCTTCGTGATGATAGTGTGTATTATTAGTTGCCTATGGTAAACTTATAAAAATAACAGCTGAGAAATTTTGAGTTAATTATTTTGTCAATTTTAAATGGGAAAAAGGTGTCTTTAAAGTTTTTAGAGCTATAGAGTGTATAAATACGTTCATATTGTGTTGTGGATTGTGACAAAGTGCCCACGATTTTGTTTATTAATTATTTTACAGCAAAATATGGAAGTACTCTAAAAAGAATGCTTGCAAAAGGTGATGCTGGGAACTGCTGTTCTTAAAAAAGCATTATCCGAGTATTTAATACGATTTATACAGTTAATTTTCTATACTGCAGACATATAAGGTGTTTAAATAAATAAACTAAATAATGAACGTTTTGCATTCGGCAACCAATAATGCACGTGTGTGTATTATTGGTTGCCGGATAAGGACTAATAACCATGACAAGGACTACAATGACGTCACAAAGCGAGTAGTTTTCGCATGCACCTGGCGGACACTTTTGGCTGAATGAGCAGTCCTATAGGTTAACTGTTCTTGGCGAAGTGCTTTAACTGTATCTATCACGGCATCCAGGCAGTGGTAGTATTTGGATTCGACGTATTTTACAATAAAGCATCATTCAGAACCTCCCAATTAGTGGAGTAAATTAGTGGTTTGAATTACACTTTATACTTTTTAGTTTACGATCATTCACAATGTCTAAAAATCATAATTAAAATTAATAAAATATCCTAGCAACAGCTTGCGGTAGTCTGTTGTATCCATAGAGAAAGCCTAATATTTAGCTTATAAAACAATCTACTTTTGATTTCTAACCAAAATTTTTCTTGACGGGTGATATCAAAGGCCAAAATGACATCACAAAACATCCCCTTTAGAACTTTTTCTTTAGTGGCCATAAGTGGGTGTAAAAGACCAACCTCCCGAACAAACACTAGAGGCGCCACAGGTCATCAAATGGTGTAAAAAATGCGAAAATTTAATCATCTAATTTTGACACAAGGGGACGCGCTTAACTTTTTTAATTTTATTTCAATATTCATTGTTTTCAAACTGTATTATTAGACTTTGTTGTATTTTGTGAGTGTATAAATGTTTTCTTAGTATAAGGTTGCATTATATTAATTTAAATTATATTACATACATATTTAAAATTCAAATATTATGACATATATGTCAGTTGCCGTCTAAAGTGTCATTTTGATAACAAAAAGTTAGTTATTGTCAGAAATAGTTAAAATCATGTTAAAATATCAATTTACAAGTTATAATTAGATATTTTCATATGGATACAGCGTAATGTTGATATGTGGGTCCAAAACAAAAAGTGCCGTTATATTTTTCAGTTTTCGTTGTCAGCCGCGGAAGTTTCAGTGATTTTAGTGTTGTCGGATAGTTTATTTGTGAAGTAGAAATATTGCGTTTGGATTGCAAAACTAAAAGTGGAAGTTTTATTGCAATGTAAGTAAGCGTTTGTCCATTTTATATTTTATTTTTTTCATACCTACGACAAATATACATAATATATTGAAATTTAACAATTCGTTTTATTTAAAAAAATGTTAGAAGACAAGCCTGTAATTCTGTAATTGACATAATTATAATGTAATATATTCCATTTAAATTTAATATATTACTTTACAATTAAAAAAATGTAAATTTATAAAATATAGTAAAAATAAATAAAATAATATACAGGTATTAATTGAAATTTTTAGAGTGCGGACAAATACGAGAGGCTTTATTATTTACTTTCATTTCTTAACATGACAGATGAAGTTCTAAAGGGGGATGTTTTGTGAATGACATTTATCGCAAATTTTGAAGTATAATTAGTGAAAAAGTCAAAGATTTGTTAACTTTTTCCACTAATTGAAAATTACTACCACGCATTCTGATGTTCTGAATGCTTACATTAAAATTAGGCGAACAAACTTCTACGCTAAATTGAAACTACTAATTTATTCCACTGATTTGGAGGTTCTGAATGAAGCTTAATTACAAGTTTAATGCCGGTAATTTTTGAATTTCTTCTATAATGACAAATTTACTCAATGTAGTACGTGAGATAGGGGACGACATATATTCTCCGTAATTAAATTTTGACAAAAATAGCTATTTATGTAACAAGTTGCAAAATAAATTGTTTTAAGCACGGGACAAAAAATTATCCAACGAGGCGAAAACCGACTTGGACAATGCGTCGAGTGCGGATAATTTGAGATTTTCATGCTGTTATTATTATTTATTTTTAAACATTTTTTAAAATGTTCTGGTATAATCGGTTTCTAAGGCATTGTTTATGCATTGTTTAATGACAAAGTTCTGTCAGGTTCAAACGTTTTGTGAAAAAATGAGTGATAATGACGAGTCATTGGATATTCAACAAGCTGCTGAAACTGTAATTTTCCAAGAGTGTTTACGATTACTGAGGGACCAATAATAGATGGTATCAATTTCTTACATGTATTTCGTAAGTACGCAAAACTTGCAAAACTTCAACCACTCAATGTCACCCATCAGCGATTTTTCTTGACGTATCGAAAAAATCAATGCTGTACCCTGCCAGTTGGAATCAATATAATTGGGGGTATGCCAAAAAAGATAGCGGAATTTATTGGACTCTTCAACGCCATTGAATACACTGATCATTGTTTCCAGCGCAGCTCTCCAACAATGCTGGCAGATTCAGGAGCGGACAAACAGTTTTAAACATAGACTTAAAATAAAATATAGACTGAGCATCTCATTCATAAATAGCTGGAACATGCGGTCAGACACTGTGTCAAACAGTTTTACAAGCGACCTGGATATTATTCAAACAGGATATATTCCAAGATTACATTGAAAATTCAATTGAACAGAAAACTGAAATAGGAAAAAATAATGGGACAGAAAGACACGCCAAATAAGAAATTAAAAGAAGTGCACGTAGAAGCAGAAGCTACCGGCATTGCCAGTACAAGAAATTTACTTATTCCGACTCCTACAACTTACATTTCTGTTAGAGAGACGAAAAGAGAGAGACGAAAAGTTGGATGTGTCTTGTATTCACTTTTTAATTCAAATAAAAATAATTGTACCTTTTAAGATTATAAGTAAATGAAATAAATTAGGATTGATTGACGTGTCATTCTTTTACTTTTAGGTCACTGTAGTGTCGGAAAAAACTATAACTTTTAGATTTTAAACGGCAAGAATCGGTATATTTCGAATCTCAATTAAATAGAAAATGTCACTCTGAATAGAATGACATATCATATGTCAATATTTGACAATTTCGAAATATGTCATTAATTGTAATTGTCCATCTAAATATACGACATATTTGTCCTCCGTGCTTAATATGCCAAGTGTGTGGTATCAACATCCTTCATAAAAATATTTTCACAAATATGTCTAATGACAAAATGTTTGTTCCATTTAAAAAATGGTCACTCTTTGTATGATTCAACAATATGATTTGTACATTTTTTAACCGGCCTAGACAAGACACGAAACCTATTAGAACGATCAAAACTATTTTTCCAAGCTAAAATTGATTAAAAATTAGTGGATTGAAAAAAACTGGATTGAAATTTGGAAAATACGATATGTTTTTAAATGACAATGTCAATAACTTAGTACAGGATATGTCATTCTATTCGTGAGTTTCATATTTTTATCGAATAAAGTAGCAATACAACTGAGGGTGGGTTTAAAAATCAAAAGCGCTACTCATTTTGGTGAAACAGGAAGAGACCAAAATATATTTGAATACGTCAATAAATCCTAATTTATGTGCTCATATACCTACTAACATATTAAATCTTGTTTTTTATCTGAAAAATAAAAAAAGTTATAGGGTTGAGCCACTTTGAGACGACCCGGTATATTAAAATATAATGTTTCATAATGTAATATCATTTTAAAAAATTTGTATGTTATTTTTAGATTCTGAAGATAATTTTAGAATAAACCGGAATATATTTTTAATAAAAAACATTATTAATTATTAACACGCAACAAATGCGACACGTACCCACAAGCGTAATAAATGAATAGAATAGGCTCCCTCGCCTCTAATCGGTGTTGTCATATTGTAAAGAACTTATCCTTATTAAACAGTATCCGACTTTATAATTTAGTAGTATAAGGACTATTTAATACATCTATGGAATATTAAAACCTACTTTATTAAACTGTAGTATTAATATCTCAATATATGTGTAATCGAGGGCGCGATTTTTAAATTAATTGTTGCCAACATAGGACTGGATGAGGAAGCCTCGGTCGACTGTAACTGGAACTTAAATTTCCTGCTAGGGAAAAAGGTTGTTTGTCCGCTGTAAAAGATGTCAAGTTAGTGTAGTTTATATTTTATTTTACAGTGTCATTGGTTTTGACAGCGACATGGAGGTTGTATTACAAGTTTTTGGTTTAAATTAATTAGATTGTGAAACTTCAATTGAACAAAAAATGTTTACTAGCAGACCTGGGGACAGTCGAACAATGTTCTTTTTATAACCTATTTGAATGTGAAGTGCACGTAGAAGCAGAAGCTTAATAGCCATTAAAAAGTACAAGAAACTTTGTTTTGTTTGTTGCTTTAAACTTACAGTTCTGTTGATGTAAATAATAAATGAGATAGACGATAAGTATATATATCTATGTATTCATTTATATATATTTAAATATATATGTACCTATAGATTTATATATAAATAAATATTTTCATTGTTTATATATATATATATATATATATATATAGGCACTAGTATATAAAATATATATATTTAGATATAGTATATAAAAGAATATATATATATATATCAAATAAATATAAAACTGTCAATTTCGAAACGCTTTCACATAAAAATATTTGCAATACCTGAAATATGTCATTAATGGTAATATCCATCTAAAAATACGCGCATATTGGTCCTCCGTGCTTAATATGCCTTTGTACAATAACATCCTGAATATAAAGGGCGTAACACAAATCACGTCTATTACAAAATGTGACTTCAAATAAACATTGGTCACTCTTTTCGGATTCAACACAATGGTGTGAACTGTTTTGTCGGCATAACCAGTGAAAAAACTGAGAACTATCAATACAACATAAGAAGCTAAAATAAAAATAGTAATTAGGTATTGAAAAATGATTTTTAAAATCTTCAAGCTCTTGGAGAAGTAAATACGGCATTTTTTAAATGGGTGATCAATAACTTAGTACAGGGTGTCTCATTTTCGTGTGTTTTATGTTGTTTTTCGTTTATGAGTAGAGATACAAATATACGGTTTCTAAATCACTGCGCTACTTTTTTATGAAACTAAACACGCTGTATATATTTGTTACCAATTAAACTTTTAGTTACGTAATCGAGGGCGCGATTTTTAAATTAATTGTTGCCAACCATGGACCTATTTGGCGCCGGGCTGACTAACTGGAACTTAAATTTCCTGCTAGGGATTAAGGTAGTAGCTCTGCTGTAAAAAATGTCAAGTTGCCACATTTATTTATTTATTTATTTACATTGTCATTCGCTTTGACATTTTATTTTTGTATTACAAGTTTTTGGTTTAAATTAATTATGTTGTGATACTTTAAGCTTAAAAATGTTTACTAGCAGACCTTGCAGTCGAACATTGTTCTTTTTATAACCTATTTGAATGTGAAGTGGTACAAGATAGCTTAATAGCCGTAAAAAAACTCATCGCAACTTTGTTTTGTTTGTTGCTTTTAAGAAGTTGAGTTTTGTTATGTAAATAATAAATGTTTATATGTATATATATATATATATATATATATATATATATATATATATATATATATGTATTTATAATTAATTTATTTTTGTTTCCTAAAATATTTTGATTAAAAGAAAATATTTAAAATTAGGCAACGCTGTGCCGGTCAGCTTAATAAGGTGACTAAAAATTTATTTGATACAAACTATAAACAGATTTATCCTAGCCTTCGTAGTTCCTGAAATACAGGGCGAATTTTAAAATATTCCATTTTTCGACTCTTCCCGTATCTCGTATAAGTTATCGAAAAGATGGAAACCACGTAGGGCCTTTTACATAGAATCCAGTGGTGTATACTCTGTTTTTTTTTTCTCATGTAAGATTTCGACAAACAATGACAGAAAAAAAGCAGATGACGTCCATACCAATCCATTTATTTCCCTAAAAAAAGTTTCTAACATTTTTTAAGTTAACTATAGATGGGTTTATATATAAATCTGCCATGCGTCGTCTCTTGTTGTTTTTGACCACTTTTATTGGTTTATTTCAAAAATGACAGATCACATTTCAATACTATTGGTTTAACGGAACGATGAGCGACAAACGGACGCCGATGATTTTTGAGAGTAGTCAAACTCTCCAACTGCCAAATTATAGGTTATAATTTTGTGTCAAATTATGTAAAATAAAAATATTTTGCACTTTGGACTGTGTTATTACGTGTGTTTCGTGTTTCCATTTTTGTGGAGGAAAACCCGAGGGAAAATTAAGTGGTTAACCCAGACCATAGTTTACAGTTAATATTCGGTGCCGAGTGTCACAGTTTTCCAGAGGTTTGTATTAGCTACAAATAAAGTTTGTATACTATCTCGTATATGGTAGCAAAAATTGGAGTATCTGTAAAATAACATCACACGATAGATAAATAATAAATTTTAGTACTGCAGAGAGATAATGTCAAAAGATACTGGTTTAAAAAAATTAAGATTAAAGTTAATTATGCCACTTTTAAGGTATAAAATTCAGTAAGTGTTATTATTTATAAAATATTTTATTTTATTTTTGTTGTGTTTTATTTATGCCTTTGCAATGTTAAACATTTTATATTTGTACATAAGTTATATTGATAAATGTAATAATAAATGCAGGAAGTTGCTTGAGCTTGAAAGTAAGAAATAGTTCTTTCTTATATTTTTTTGGTATGTGTTTTTTTGTGTAAAATATAAACACCCTTGTTTGTTTTGTATTAATAATACATACCGTATTTTTTTTTAATAAAATAATTCGATTAGAATTTTTCAGTTTTATACAGTTTTTTTACAATATTTTCAAGTAATCACTTGTCATTCAAATTTTAAATATATTAATTTTCTGCTATGTGTTCCAATTGCATATACCGACTTATTTGTTTGTAAAATAAAATAAACCACTTTAAAATTAAAATGGCAGACAGATTAAAATGACAGACACTGTCAAGGATTTTGTCGTTGGACAAGCTATAATTAGCTTTTTGTTGGAAGCCTTCTGAGCATTTTTTAAGGGACACCCTGTATATTTGGTTTTTCCACGAGTCTTTCCAAAAATTATAATATATTATACTAATTTCCATAAATAATTTAAAAATGTATTATTTAACTTTTTAATAAATATTATGTATCAACCTAGTCTAAAAGAGTATTCTTATTTTACTTTATTACCAGAAAAATTTGCTTTCCCTCATATTCTCTTAATAAAATGCACTGAAAAAATGAACTTGTACTGCTTTTCGATAACTAACGAGAGCGCAAACGAAAAATGCTGGAAAACACACTAAACTGGACACCCTGTACATGCAGGGTGTCCCACAATTAGTGCAACAAACTGAAAGAGGTTCTAAAGGGCATCAAAACAAGTCATTTGAGTATAGGAACCCATGTCCGGAAATGTGCCTTTTTGGCAGGAGGTGGAGTGAAACGTTAATTTCAAGTTGCATTATTTATCCAAAACATTTACAAAAACTGCTCAAAGTGCCGTCCATTCTGTTGAAGACACAAATGCACATGCCTGGACGGCACTTTGAACAGTTTTTCAAATTCAAATGTTTTGAATAAATAATGCAACTTGAAATTTACCGGACATGGGTTCCTATACTCAAATGGCTTGTTTTGATGCCCTCTACAACCTTTTTCAGTTTGTCGCCCTAATTGTGGGACACATTGTTCTTCTTGCAGTACAACTGACATTGCATCGTCTAAACGAGCCTTATAGGAATTACAGTAGCACCAGCATTAGGTACCGCCAAATATAAGAAGTCAAAGTATTTTCTTATACTCACGGTAAATAGGCAAAAGTAAGTAGTTTATTTGTATTGGTGACCAATATGGTGTTATTACTGGCCACACGAAATAGTGGACGAACAAATGAATTGCCATGAATATCCGATAGCCGAAGGCGAACATACTCAGTGGATGTATCATGTAGTAATACTTGATTAGATGACGTTGCTCTTCTTTCCTGAGCATATAGAGCGACTTTATATAAAATCTGGTTAGAGGATGCTGCTGACTTATCATCATTAACCTGAAGAAAAGATAGACAGAGTGATTGTTATCTTTTTATTATCGTAGTTTTTTCTGATTTTTCTGTGTATATGTTTAACAGCGTTTTCAGATGGAGCGGAGCGTCCGCGACGGACCGTCCGCGACTTCGAGCAAGTACCATGAGTTTATATGAACGATTTCACATGGGCCGCGTGTGCTCCGTCCGGATGAGCTATATTGAAAAAACATCCGCGCGTACGGTCCGCTCCATCTGAAAGCGCTGTAAGTATATTTGATAAATTAAACTTTTAGTTACGTAATCGAGGGCGCGATTTTTAAATTCATTGGTGCCAACCATGGACATATTCGGCGCCGTGCTGACTAACTGGAATTTAAATTTCGCGCTAGGGATTCAGGTGGTAGCTCTGCTGTAAAAAATGACAAGTTGCCGCATTTATTTATTTATTTCCTGACATTGTCATTCGTTTTGACACTTTAGTTTTGTATTACGAGTTTTTGGTTTAAATAAATAGTGTTGTGATAATTCAAGCTTAAAAATGTTTACTAGCAGACCTTGCAGTCGAACACTGTTCTTTTTAGAATATATTTTAGTGCGAAGTGTACAAGATAGCTTAACAGCGGTAAAAAATTAATGGCAACTTTATTAGAATATTTTGAACGAGAAAGCGGTAGTAAAGTAGTAATGGTAATTTACTTAAGGGACATAAATTAAAGGAAAATAAATTAATAGTAATTGATGTCCTTTAAGTGCTGCTAAGAAAGAGTTTTGTTGATGTAAATAATAACTGTTTATACAGGGTGGTCCGAACTCTATTCCGGAAACTTCGGCAGCATATTCTGCAGATAAAAATAAGTAAAAAAGTTCGTATAAATGTATGTCCTAAAATGCCAAATTTCGGAGATACAGGGTGTAGAAGTTTCATTTTTATTTTTATTTTTTCCTGATAATTTCTGAAGTAACGTAAATATTTGGAGGAAAATTGTTGTCTGGGAGTTTTTTCACATGAGAAATTTGATTTTCATGTCAATATGACTCCTACTTGTAGAGGGTGCCACCTACATATTTTTAACTGTTTTGAAGAGTAATAACTTTTCGTCCGCACCTGTATAAAACAACTGAGTAAAACAATATACGTTTATGACGTTTTTTATGTAAAAAATGTCTCTTAATAAAAATCGCTACGAGTAATGGTTCTCGACATATTTGGAGTCGAAATTTTCAAAACCTGTCATCTTTGACATAAATTAAGCATGTTGACCAAATAGTTATTAAGCTAAAATCATAAATTTGAAATGTTTTTGTGCTAAAAGTTCTTTATCATCATTTTTTCGCAGAAAAAATTTAAGATTAATTTAAAAAAAATAAAAAGTTTCCAAATTTATCATTTCAGTCAAATATCTGTCGACTGAACATGCTTATTTTTTGTCAATAATGACATGTATTGACTATTTTCATTCTAAATATCTTGAGAACGGTTGTTCGTTGCGACTTTTACCAAGAGACATTTTTTACGTAAAAAATCACGGAAATGTATATTTTTTCACTCAGTAGTTTTATACAGGTACGCACGAAAAGTTAATACTCTCCAAAACAGTTAAAACACATGTAGGTGGCGCTCTCTAGAAATAGGAGTCATATTGACATCAAAATCAAATTTCTTATGTCAAAAAACTACCAAACACCAATTTTCATCCGAGTATTAATGTTGCTTCAGAAATTAGTTGGGAAAAATTGCAATAAAAATGAAACTTCTTCACCCTGTATATTCGAAACTATGCATTTTAGGACATACATTTATTCAAACTTTTTACTTATTTTTATCTGCAGAATATGCTGCCGAAGTTTCCGGAATACAGTTTGGACTAACCTGTATATTTATAATTACTTTATTTTTGTTTCCTAAAATATTTTGATTAAAAGAAAATCTATAAAAGTGAGCAACGCTGTGCCGGTCAAGCTTATATAATCACGTGACTAAAAGTTTATTTGGTATGAACTGTATGAATGTATTTGTATTACATAAATAAAAAAGAAAAAAGCAACGCAACATTCTAGATGAACTGACGAATAAAAAGAATGTAATAGAAACTCTAAAAAGCTATTTTCTGAACTAACGGTATACCGGGTGTTTCTCAAAAGTGACTCACCCCTATAACTATTTAGTATATGATATAAATCAGGATTGATTGACGTATTCAATTGTTTTCGGTCACTTCCTGTTTCACCGGAAAAGACTAAAATTTTTGATTTTTAAATGACGCCCTCAGTATTTGTTTACTCCAGCCGCTTTTGAGAAACACACGGTTATTTAGTGCTTCATTTTAAAAAATATAATTTAATGCAAAAATAAGTTGTTTGAATCACCAAGGAGCTAGCTCAAATCAGCCGAACTATATTACCGTTGAATGAAGAAATAAGAAGATGCGCAACCTTATGGGCGATTTCGTGGCACAAAACCTGTCCGAGATGTAGCTGGCGATACCGTCGCCTCTAGTCAACCTGTCCGAGATTTAGTTAAGCTCTGCGCCGCTGCACGCTGATCTTTTACTGCGCAGCAGATACAGGATACTGACAGAGTGAGTGTTTGCCGGAGAACAGTGTTGTATTAATCCATAGATTTACGGATTTTGGGTACAGTACGTTAATAAAACGGATATTCTATCATTAGACAGTTTAATATACTATTACATGATTAAACAAAGAACGGCGTCAGATTTGACTTGGAAATGAAGATCGCTGTTATTTCATATGTAAAATATTAAGGTAAATGTCAATAGTAGTTTGTTTCGAAGCCAACTAAACGAGTTTTTTCGATCTTACGAAATATTCAGTAGCAATAAATGAATTTTTATCTTTATTGTTTATTCTATGTTTAACAGGAATAAATATTTAATACATAAACACGGATTTTTCATCCAAAGATATTTTCCTCAAACGTATTACAGATATTACACATTTTAATATGGCAACACTGTTGCTTTCAGTTCCACGCTGTTCGATATGCCTTATGATAGCCGAATTAGAGAAAATTAGTGTTTTATGCGTTGGCCGCAGAATATGTAGACGCTCCACCGTACAGCACTTGAGACATAAGGGGAAATCGCATCAGCCTTGTCACGAATTTGCCCATTAGGTTACGTATCTTCCCAATTCTTTCAGTCAACGATATTACCTTTTAATTCTTCTTCTTATCTTAATAAAAATTCCGGTATCTATAAAAGCCTTTACTACATCATCGGGTTCGTCCTGCAACTCACACTTATGATATTTGGTATCTTGTCTTCTATATTCCATGTTCACTGCTAAATAAACTTCTGGTATTAGCTTAAACAAAACAAAAATTGTATAAAATTATATTAAATTTATAAAAAAAATCCAAATCATAAAAATTTATCAATTTACATACCTTACTCTATATTTTTAATTCAATCATAGTTCTTAAATCGCATATTCAATAATTTATCTTTACCTTTAGGTAATATTTTTTTACTAGTAGTACCAGTACTTGTAGTAATTGTATTTTTGTGTTTATGTATTAACGAAAATAATTAACTGGAGCAGTGAAGTACCTGTCAGCTCAATTTGACAGCAACGTTGAATTCCATAGAAACTGAGTTATATTTAAAATTACTAAAGCACACTGTGCATGTTTATCCAATTTAACTAGAATTTAACGTAAATTTAACAGCATTTAATAGAAGTAGAATATTAGTCGATTTAAAAACGTATTATAAAAAGAATATTTTATATCAATATGGACTATAAATGCTTTGTTTTAAAACAATTATGTTCTTTTAGTGTTTTTATATTGCCTGATTGGCCTAACTAATTTGTATTATTTGGTAGTTTGTATTTCCACCACCATGAATCACCCTATGTAAACAACGTTTACATAGGGTGATTCATGATGGATTTACGGTGGTGAGACGTGAGACGTTTATCGAAAACCGGTGATATAGATTTTTTTTGAAAATGTGGATTTTTACATAAAGGCACCATCTATCTAAAATATTTTCAGCGTTACAATGTTGCTGCATCAGTTGAAAAGTGGTAGCATCTTTGTTATTTTGAATAGAACACCCAGTATATTATTACATTTTTGGAAACTACTTTCATATCTCATAATTATTTTTCTATTATACTAAGCTATACCTCTCTAATAGTTTTTGAGAGAAAAAATAAACCATGAGTAAAATTTACAAAAGCATGATCGTGAAAAGGCAATGGTAAAATCATGAATTAAACTTTTTGAAAGTTGAAATTTGGGTTATAAGTTAACGAAAGTCGATATATTCGATATGAACCAAGTTAGCATTCACGGCTAATATCGTTCTGCGCATGCTCAGTAGCGTATGCGTATGTAGAGAGAAGGATAGACTTATGCGATAATCTTGTTCTAGAAAGAACTAAGTAGAAAAATGCATGTGAAAGTCCCCTAAGCAAAGTCGTGTGTAATATACATATGGCGGCATAACTTTATCCAGGAAATTCACCTGCTCCATCTATCTAAAATATTTTCAGCGTTACAATGTTGCTGCATCAGTTGAAAAGTGGTAGCATCTTTGTTATTTTGAATAGAACACCCAGTATATTATTACATTTTTGGAAACTACTTTCATATCTCATAATTATTTTTCTATTATAATAAGCTATACCTCTCTAATAGTTTTTGAGAGAAAAAATAAACCATGAGTAAAATTGACAAAAGCATGATCGTGAAAAGACAATGGTAAAATCATGAATTAAACTTTTTGACAAATTTGGTTAAAATCGGTTCAGCGGTTTTTGAGTTATCGTGTTACAGACGGCAGACAGACAGACATAGAAAATCCAAAGAAAAACGTTCGAAATTTTCACAATTCCAAACCTAACCTACAACCGAAACTGACAATTTATAAATGCAAAAATATTGAACCTCAACTGCCGCGAACATCCAACTGCAACTGAACCTCAACTGAATGCCAACTCCCGAGTTTATAAATCTAGTTTTACACTTGAAAGCTGAACAACTAGTCACCATTGTAATAAAGTTTATACAAAGTTTACTACACACAAACTATTAAAATTGCTAAAATTGTCGCTGGTGACCAAATGATGACTCATTGTTTGCCATCAAAAGAATGGCCTCGAAGGTCACAAATTCTGCTGCAGCCCGTATATGGGCGTTACATGTCCTTATAATTCTTTAGTCATTGATCTCGACTATAGTCACTTGTGTCTAGCCCTAAGGTCTAGCCGGTCGAAGTCTCCCGATTATTTTCCAATGATACCCGCCAAATTTAAATCGTGGGTCATTTTCTTGTCTTTCATTATAAACTTGCCTTTCATTATAAACAGGCCTAAACTAATTTAGGCATTTACCGAGTGGTTAACTTTAACCGTGAATAACTTTTGAAGGAGTAGGTTTATCGAAAAATTGTTAGAGACCTTTTTTGTAACGCGTCAATTCTGTATAAGAATATGTCATTATCATGGCTGCGAGAGAACAAGACCGAGAGAAAAAAAAATATTTACACAAGGTGGCAAATTCCTATTAAATTTAAATGGAAAATGAATCGTCTTTGGGGCAAGGTTTATTGTGAATATTAAGGGTTTACAATGGTCTATTATTATTTTTTAGACAATAAACTAAAAATCTAGAGGGCGTCTTTAGAGAAATGATCAACTTGGTAAATAACGGACACCTTAATAAGTAGTACTGTTCTATTATATTGTTCATTATAGGTATTTTTTTCAAAATCAATAAAGAATATCATAGTATTGGTATTTCTATAAACTTTTTATTAACATTAATATAAATCCCATTACAAACATTAATACCGTATGATCGAAAAAAAACGGCGTCCAGTTGGCTTCAAAGTGACGATCGATGACATTCCCTATATAATTTTACATATAAAATGACAGCGCTCTTCATTTCATAGCCATTGCTGACGCCGTTTTTTTCCATCGAATATAATACCTATCTATTAATTAGTAACAACAACTTTGAAACGAATTTACATTTATTCATTCTCCTACACAATATATCGTCATGCAATAAACCTGCATGCTTAAAATGTAGTTAATATAAGAATAAATTAACTTATTGAAATAATGACCCCTTATAACGAAAGCTGTAATTGAGATGTCGATTTCTCCACTACACGTTCCTTGGCCAGTCTTTCTATATCCCTAAATATATCAGGATAATTCTGTATTACACCCAGGAATCTTCTTCTGTTTAACTTGAACACTTCGCACGGCGTTTTAGCAATAATATGTGCCGTCTAATGGTAAAATGTAATTACAGAAATAAAAAATAAGTGAATTTGCCTCATTGGAAAGCATTTGCTTATACCGTATGATCGAAAAAAACGGCATCAAGTGTCATTTTATTTTATTATATAAAATGACAGCAATCTTCATTTCCAAGCTATCTCTGACGGCGGTTTTATTTGATCGTATGGTACTAAATGTCCTAGCAGAATACACATTATGGGCTTCAGACAAATTCAAATATAGAGGGTGAGTTTCCTACGATGTTCTCTATGGGTATCTCGGAAACTACTGGAGATAGAGAGTCGGTTAAATGGGGAAAGAATTGCAGTTTTATGGGGTCATAAACATGCGCTTTTCAGATTTTTGAAAAAATATATTTCGAAAAAAACAAATTTCGGCTATTTCAAAAATTGTCCCTAATTCCATTATAATCTATTTTAGACAAAACGTTTTCAGATAAACGTTGTAGATAATCACATCCTTAATGAGATTGTGTCGTCCGTTTTTTCCTAAAGCCTGTCATTTTTGACATATGGCACAACATATGTTTTTTTAAATGGAAACCATAGTTGGCCATGACTTCATAAAAAGCGCCATATTTTAAGCTTTTCCTCGATATAAGCTATAATATGTTTCTTTCGAAAAATTATTGAGTTATAGCCAATTCTTATCATTTTTCAACAATTTCACTTAGTTAGCCATGGAAACAAGTTCAATCGTCGCGTCGTTGCTCTCAGTAATGCGAAACTGTCACATCCAAACTTTGAAAATTAAAATAAACAAAAATTGTAAATATGAATGAATTCAAATGAAGAACAGCATTTAGGGTTGGTTCAATTTTTCTTGGCCATACATTTTGGAGGATAGGTTAACCGGTGAACGTTACTTACATTTTTTAGAAAAGTTAAATTTAGATACTCGTGCATTAATAGAGTGGTTCCAACTTGACTTTTATTATGACACTCCCGCTCATAATGAAAGAAAGGTTAAAAATTATTTATATCATAATTATGCAAAATCAGGGATAGAAAGAGTTGGATCAATTGCATGGGCCTCCTCGATCACTTGACCTATCCATTATATATTTTTTTCATGCGGTATGGTTAACAACAAGGTTTACAAAACAACTTATGAATTAAGAGAGGCACTCGAAGAGGCGGTACTGAAGAAATTTATTAAAGTCGACCGGCCGTTCTGTGAGAAAAGCTTGTAATTCAGTTTTAACGAGATGCATTTTATGTACTCAAAACAATGGCAGTTTTTTTGGACATTTGAATTCTTCAATATCAAATCTTTAGTCCCACCCTGATGAAGATGTAAACGAAACGTATCTAACTTTGCAGTTACAGGGCGGGACCGTGTCCACCGTCGCCAACATAGTCTACCCAATTTGGTCGTGATCAGACGACATCAATTTTTGACGTTTCTTACGTCAAAACTAACTGTCACAGTGACACGTGTTTTATCCAGTCTATTAATATACCAAATTTTATTTAAATCGGACGATTTTTTGAATTGATTCATTGATAATGGGGTTTCGTAGTGCACGAGACTTCGCGCGTCGCCAAAATATATACATAATGTAGACTACATTCCGAGCCCTGGCTTACATAGGGTCCGAGTTACGACGCTCCAAATACACATTAAATAGGACGTCATAGTGCATGCACGAAACGTCGTTAAAATATCGAAAAGATGGGGCTTGAAGAAAAAACTACTATTATTAAAAAGTATTATTATTACTAAAAAAGATAAAATTTTGAAAATTTACTTTCCGAAGATGTTGGGTATTCCTGTTCTATTTTTGACTGTATGTTTCAACTATTAAGCCGTAAACGTGTTGTCGCTGACGACAGTGGTTGACACTTCAAAGATTGTCTAAATTTAAAATTGACAGCTGTTTGAATTTTCTACAAATCTCATTGGTTCATTTGACGTGTTGCATTCGTTCATTTGACGACGAAGTCTGAGAACGAGGCTTTAGAAGGGATTTAGATAATCAACGATCGGTGTTTATCTAGGCGATTATTATTGCTATCGAATCAGAGGTAAGCACAGCCAAGCTACAAGTAAAATGCTAATACTGTTCAAGAAGTTAATTCTCCCGTTGATTCCGATTATACGGTATATGCTATGCAATATTATAAAAACTACAATAAATTCGACTTACCCTTACTATATTAATCATCAGGGCTATTTCTCCAAAGTGAGTGCCGTCTTTTAACCGACAAATTTCTGTGCCATTTACTGCCGTTACCGTAACAGTGCCAGTAAGAATAAAAAACATACTGTTGCCTAGAAATAATCATAAATAAAATAATGAATAATAACAGTATTATGGTGCGTTTAGACTTGAGCACGCACGAGCTGAGCGTGCGCGCACGGCATTCGTTCGCGCTCTCTGCTCCGTTCAAATTAAAAACTTATTTTTCGACGAATGAAGTGACGAGTCCATTTGTGCGCGTACAGCAGAGTTGTGTTGGCCCAAATAATGGACGACCAAGAAATAGTCGAGGCTGCAGTCATTGTAATGCACAGCTTAATTATTAAAAAGAAGAAAAATCGAAAACATCGTCGCTGGTGGCAAACCCTGCAACAACTTAGTATCTGAGGAGGGCTATGATCAGTTCAAAAACTTTACAAGAATGACCACGCCCGACTTTAAATATTTACAAAATTTAATAACACCAAAAATTACGAACAAAAGATACAAATTTTAGAATAACAATTTCAATATCGACATATTCAATATTAATTTTATTTACAAGGTTTTGCCGTGCGTTATATTTTTTTTTGATTTTTTAATAATACAAAGAATGTTTAACATCCTATAATATAGGCAACTTTTCATATTTTTCAATTAATAATAACGAAGATTCATTAATCCACTCCATACTTTTAATAAAGAAAACGAAAAAAAATCACACACGCACGCACGAACGTAGACAAAACAAATTGCCGGTCCAAATTGAGCGTTCGCGCACACATAAAATCCCTTTGAGCACGGACCATAAACCGACACCAGACGGTTCACGTTCGCGGCTGCTCGCGCACAAACAGATTCAGAGTGAGCGTGCGCGCACAGCCGTTTACACTTGAGCATTCGCGGAGGATCAGTGCGTGCGTGCTTAAGTCTAAACGCACCATTAGGTTTGTTCTTTATTATACAGGGTGGCCCATCGAAAACGTTCCGCAAGGCATAACGGCCAGGGTAATTTTTTTTTTTCAGAAAATCGAAAAACATGTCAATTTTGTTTGTGAGGGGGACAACTTTTGCCCCAAAAATGATTGCAAAATCTTCAACCCTCTAAGCGGGGGTGTCATCCCCAACTTTTTTCAAATGGGAAGGGGAGTCAATGAAGTTGGGTGCAGTCAAACGTGAGATTATTGTCCGCTGATGACGCCAGGCAATGGTACGTTTGATAAATGGTTGCCATATTGTGAAAATATCTATACATGACTTCTCCTAAAGATGTTACTGTTACTTGATGTAAAAATATCTTCTTTATATTTGATATATTCTAACATATGGTGCGGAGATCCTAACATTAACCATGGAAACAGTAAGCAAAATCAGAATAACGCATAGAGCAATGGAAAATCAATATTGGATTTATATCTGAGAGAAAAGTACTGAATATCGAGAAAAAAAAAGTACGAGACAGAACAAAAATCATGGATGCCATAGGGAAAGTTTGAAATAGAATTGGACAGGGCACATTGCACGGCTAAACGATGACCGATGGACAAAGAAAATTATAGAATGGAGACCAAGACATGATGCATTCAGGAGCAGAGGCCGTCCTCCAACCAGATGGCATGACGAATTAAGGCGTCTCCACAGTAACTGGATGCAAATAGCTCAAGATATGGAGTTATGGAAGCACACGAGGGAGACCTACGTCCAGCAGTGGACTTAAGTGGCTTGTTGATGATGATGATGATTTCTCTCTCTCTCTCTCTCTCTCTCTCTCCGATCTGCTGAGGGTCGTGACTTCTATGAGAATAATTTTTGTTTTATAAGATCTTTCCAGGCTAATCTGTCTTCAGCTCAATGGATAGCTGAGTGTAGGGGTTTTTGTTTGTCTTACTTGTTTGTACTACATTGTTTGTCTTACTTGATCGATCCATCTTGTTGGGGGCCGACCTCTACATCTTTTCCCTTGGACATCACTAGTTATAATAATTTTTTCCATGTTGTTGGCAGGTCTTCGAGCAATGTGTCCAAAGTACACGAGGATGCGTTTCAGACAGATTGGCGACAGTCGGGTGTTTATGTTGAGTTCATTAATTGTTGATAGATTAGTTCTTCTAGCTGTCCAAGGTATTCTCAGCATACGTCTGTAACACCACATTTCAAAGCTATCTACCATACATCTACCTTTGATGGTCCAGGATTCCACTCCATGAAGAAATATTGAGAAGACATTTGTATGCAGCAAATTCTTTTTTGTGTGGGTTGTTATCAGCCTGCCCTGCCATATTCTTGTAAGGCAGTTGTAACAGTTTTTGCTAACTGTATTCTGCGTCTAATTTCTATTTTACAATTGCCTTCGTCATTTATGTTTGATCCAAGATAAACAAAATCATGAACCACTTCAATACCATTAAGCTGGAAAGATCTTTGTAGGGTTTTCCCTCTGTCCACGAACATTAATTTCGTTTTTTGGTGGTTGAGAGTTAGTCCCATCTCAGCACTTTCATTTTCCACTCGCAACAGTAGACTCGCCATTTCTTCTTCACTTTAACAGTTTAAAGCAAATAAATGCATAATTGGCTAAAGAATATAGTGATTATTAATGATTCCAGAGTTACAGCCAACCATGGTTTTAGTATTGGACTGCCCCATAAATTCGCTCATTTTTTATAATTAGTTTTTATGTGAATAATAAAAGATAAATAACTCTTGAGCATTGGTAAATTTGATTTTAGCAAATTTATATTTTTTCCCATTTATTTTACTATTAGGTTAGGTTGCTGGGGTTTGATCCTGTTTGATCTCTCACTCGGAGGCCGTGGGTCCATTGCGATACTCCTGTATTATTGTACCAAACGTTCCTCTCATTCCTGTTTTGCGTTAAAGCACTTTCAGCTCTTTGGAAAGTTCCCGAGGTCGCTGATGTTGGCTTCTACTGCTTCCTCTAGTCCCTCCAAAACACCTTGCCCTAAAGTTTTAAAGCGTCGGTATTCCAGTGCCGGACAGTGTCACAGCAGATGCTCTATGGTTTCTTCTTCCTCTCCGCACTCTTGGAAAGTTCCCGAGGTCGCTGATGTTGGCTACTACTGCTTCCTCTAGTCCCTCCAAAAAACCTTGCCCTAAAGTTTTAAAGCGTCGGTATTCCAGTGCCGGACAGTGTCACAGCAGATGCTCTATGGTTTCTTCTTCCTCTCCGCACTCTCTGCAGTAGTCGTCGTTGGAAATCTTCCATCTCACGAGGTTTACCTGCGTGGGGCAATTTCCAGTGATGACACCTACAATTATGCGTACTAGGTTCTTTTTGAGCTCTAGTAGTTGTTTTGTCTTTTTGCTATCTACCACTGGCCACAGTCTTCGAGTTGTAGCGCAGTCCTCACGGTGTTGCCGTGTCTCTTTTTTTGCTGGTTTGCCTTGATGGTAGTTTCTACAGCTACCTTCAGTGTGTTGATCGTCACAAGTGGTGGGTCATCTGCCATGGCCTCTCTCCTGACCCCCTCTTTGGCAAGTCTGTCTGCTTCTTGGTTTCCCACCACATTGTTGTGACCTGGCTTTTTTAATATTGGTTCTTCCCGTTTATAATCTTTCTGTGGTCATTATATGTGTGGACATATTAGTTAGTCAGGAAGCAAACAGCAAAAACCACTGTTTAAATACCTACCTGTTGTTCCAGCCTCGATAATAACATCTCCAGGTAGAAAAATCAGGTATATCAAATTAGCTCGCAAGCTTGTCAAACCGTCCATAGGAATGTCCTTGAATAATTCGACTTCAAAAATGCTATTTCTTGATAACGCAATGAGGATTTCCTTTTTCAAAACTGACGGCGTAATTTTACTAATGCTGGACTCCTGTAAAACAAATAAAATAATTATCTATAAGATGCTTAACTTAATATATCCGATATTGTCATTTTTTTACTAGAAGGAAATATTTTTTACGACGTTGCGCGTTTAAATTCTAATCAGTATTTAGTGGCTGTATTCAGTATTTAGTGGCGCTGCCACCATCGGGGAATATCGTAAAAAAACTAGCATATACAAATACACTGGTTTAAATAGCGGGTATACGAAAAATGTATTACTTAATTATTCTAAAAGTGTTATAATTAAGTTTCGTTGTGTAATTTGTGAAAATTCTAAAAATAAAAATAAAAAAGTAAATAGGTATTTTGATATCTTCAGAAGGTATAACTTTAGTATTATAATTTATTATTCCGCAGATAAAAAAACTTTTTAGACGAGTTCAACTACAATAGCGAGCATAGTTTTAATCACAGGTTTTGCTAGTGGGGCATAATTGGGATTATTTTGGCTATAACGAATTTTTTTACGTACAGGTACATAATTATAATTTTAGAAGATGTTCATAAAATATTTAATCACTAGTTGATTAAAAAAAGTATACCATTAATATTGAAAATTATATTTTATTCTCTCATAGTATAGGTCTATTTAATATTCTGATTATGTAGCGAGCCCTTTGTTTACTCACTTGTTTCGTCGAACTGCTTGAATCCATTTTTGATAGTGATGTTATTAACATTTGAAATTGTCACAACACAACACGACGCCTAGTTCTTTTTCACTTTTTTTACTACCCGAAACAGCGTTACATCACACATACCTCATACCTGAGTGTTTTATAGTCTCAATAACTGCACTAGCAAACTAAAATACTTAAATATTATGACAACCACGTTTTCAATATTATTTTAATGCGATCAACATGACGGCGGCGGCGCGGCGCGGCGGCGCCGGCGTGAACTATACATATATTGATAATTTCTGATTTTTGTCGTAAAGCGCTATTGTCGGAATTTGTTGAAATTAACTGAAATGCACCAAGCCTATAGTGAAAATTAAAGCAACTCTCAATAGGGGTATCATTTATAATGTCATTTAGTATACTTACCTTATAAAATTTCCTTTGAAACTTGAAATTCAGATACAAGAAAATCCGGTTTCTTAGTTTTATTGGCAGTGCCTTATGTGCCATATACGCTTCTATACTGGCGTAGGCTTTTTGTTGTTGGTTTTTTGTGCTGGAAAACTGGTACCACAGTTGGTAAGCCTCCATACAAAATACACAAATATAAATA